GAGAATTCTTCCTGCTATGCAGCTGTTAGAAATCATTTTGAGGCTGGCTGGTAAATACATAAATACTTTACTGAACAATTTTTGTATCGTTTAAATATTTTGTAAGCCACTTTCCCCCCATTTATAAGCAAAAGAGAAAAAAAGGCCTCAATAAACAAACAAACAAAAAAAAGAGAATTGTAAATAAAAAGGCTGTTTTCCAGAAATTTTTCATTTCTTTCCATGACTTCACATCTTTACTCAGGAGAAAGTCATTTTCTAGTTAGTTCTAGTTAAGCAGCTGTCTTAGTTAGTTCCAGTTAGTGGCATGGTCATCAAACCCATTGGATTTTTAAAAAATTTTCTGAACAGTCATAACTCCCATTCTAGCTCTGTTAACCGCCAAAGATAGAAAGACAGAGAAAGAGAAAGAGAAAGAGAGAGAGAGAGAGAGAGAAAGAGAGAGAGTGACTTTTCATATAGAAGGGGATACAATTGCTTTAAACTTTATTTTATTTTTTTTCTGATGACCAGAAATTTCTGGACTCAAAAAAAAAAAAAAAAAAAAAAAGAGTGAGAGGGAAGGAAAAACCACACATGCTCAGACTTTCAAATTATGCCAAGATAAATATTTATTTAAACACAGCAGGACTTACAGATCACAAAAAAGAGAATGGTATTACAGGAGCTCAAAGGAAATCATCAGAGTCAAAGCATGCAGGCCAGTCTTTTGCAGAAGAGAGAGATATCAAAGCTGTTTTCCAAAAGGCACATTCACACAGGAAAAAATGTCAAGTTGAAAATAAAAGGCATCAGAGAAGTGGAGGAAAAAAAGAGACAGCCGGAAGGAAGAGATCTCTACCCCGGTTCTGATTCGGGAAAAAAAGTTTTGGTTTTTTTTTTCTGATGCAAAGGTTCTGCCAGTTTTTGCAAACTCAGCAAATTGGCCCGTCTTCCAGCTGTTTAATCGTGCACTGCAACAGTTTCCAAAAGGGTCAATGGGGGGGGGGCAAATCAGGGGAAGGGTGGGGAAGAGACCCCCACCCACCCACTCCAAGGCCAATCCAATCCAATCCAATCCAATCAGACAGAACCGAGAAAAGGGTTCTAAAATTTGGCAGAAAAGTAAAACGACAGGTTGAAATTAACAAGCAGAAGGTTATAAATATTGGTCAAGATTGTTAATTCCACAATCGAGCCAGGGCATTTCGTGTTGGTTACCTTCCCGTTCACAGAATTAAAGAAACAAAGTTTAAAGAGACAGTATCCCCTTGAAAGAGCTCGAAAAAGCCTCTCCTTTCATTCCTGCGGTGTTAAGAGCATTTACACTGTAGAGTAATTGATTTAAATATCCTTTCCCCCCCTTCACCATCGAAGACATTAATTCCTTCTAGTCCCCCGATAGCTGGGATTTTGCTTGCGTAAACTCTCAAGCGTGGAAAGATTAAACGCTAGTTTTGTTTGCAATGTATGCTAATACTGGAAGAGACGGATGAGAAGAAGTCCTACATAATTTAGGAACTCCTCTCTGAAACCACCAAAAAAGTACCTTGGAGGAATGGAAAAAGGGAATACTGTCCCTTTCTGACAATTCAGTTTACAGACCAAATAGAAACGAGCAAAGAAAAAAAAAATCTGCTTTCAATTAAAGTTGTAGAGTATATATGGAACATTACCAATTCAGAACTTGAAAAGTTCCCCCCTCCTCTCTCTGTGTGTATATATATATATATATATATATATATACATATATAAGAGTATATATATATATATATTATATTTATATATATATTATATTTATATATAATATAAATATTATATATATATATATATATATATATATATATATATATATATATATACACACACATATATATATATATACATAAATATATATATACTGTACATTAGAGCTTAGGGATGTGAACGTATTTCAGAAAAGGTGCTTTGGAGTACCAGTCTGTTAACTCTTGAAGCAGCTGTGAGAACCTGGGAAAAGATGTAGCTGCTTTAAAGGGGTTGGAGATAGGTGCTACATACACGGATCCGGTATGATTGCTCTTTGGAATCAAATCTGGACCACTTCACAGCTCTAATATATACACAGAGAGAAGAAAAGAGAGAAGCAACAGGACAGAAAAATAGTTGATTTATCAAATTAACAGTAGACAGAAAGCCCCAAGAAAATATAGACAAGAAGGAATTTTGGAGTCGGAGCGGATGAAAACTACTTCTTTGTCATTTAGCTATCAGCATCTAAGGCAGTTTCTCTCACCCCTGGAAATTGTAAGCGGTGTGGAATTCAACTCCCAGAATTCCTCAGCCATTCACCCATGCTGGCTGGGGAATTCTGGGAACTGAAGTCCACCCCTCTTAGGGAGTTGCCAAGGTTGAGAAACCCTGATCTAAGGTTTCAAAAAAATAGCTGAGGATTCGCCATTCCCTTTCCTCTTAAGAGTAAATTTTTCTTACGCCTTAATTGCATTTTATCATTGAGTCTGCATCAAAAAGGAACTGTGGAAAATGCCACCTAAGCTTGATTCCTAGCCAATAGTTAAAATACTTAAGCAGTTGATCTTGGATGGCATTAATCGCTTCTTTGGTACAGCTGGAATGGCAAGCTGTCGATATGTGTTCTGGGATTTTTGATTGAGAGAAATCCACTTTTGATCCCTTAATCATGATTGGGAAATGGAAATATTAACCCTGAACAGGCCCTTGGCACCAGAAAGTAGATAAACACTTGATTTTTGGAAAATAAGGAATGGGGAAATCATTCTCTATAAAGTTTAGCATCAAAAACATAAGACCGACTTAATCAATCTCAGCATCCAGAATGCATCTCTCGGTGCAAACTGAATGGCCATCATCAATCCTTGAATTGCTACGGACAGTTACCATAATTCATCAAACTATCCCTAAAACGGATTAGAAAAATAGTAGGAAAAAAGTGCTTTTGAAAAACTCAAAATTAAAAAAAAAATATTTCAAGGACAAGCATGGTAGGTACCAGGCTACTGGTAAACTTACCATGCCAGATCAAACATTTAAACATCCAAAAAAAAAAAAAAAAGGTTTAATTCTTCACGAAGCAAATTTACTCCTGATATTTCAAACACCCTGTTAGAGAATTCCCCTTCTTCTAAAACCACCAAAGGGGTTTGTTTCTATGTTTCCCTACCTAAAAATAGACTATAAGATTACAGTACAGTTATTTTTTTCTCCTCTTTCTCTTATGATCTTGGGTGGGATAGAGGCAAGTGAGAAAGAAACAGCAACTGATGTAGAAGTACATGGTTTGCTGGAGCAACTATTTCCTTGCCACCTATACTAATACTGATTAACCCTTGTTTGTGCTGGAATATTGTGATTTTTTTCTCTGTTTTTTTAAAGGCCACAAAATTCAGTGATCCACCCACTGAGAAATTGTACCCCAAAAAAATCACCAGCCCATGAGGTGTTTAGTTTAATGATTTACAACTCAATTGGAGATAATTAATTCATTCTCTGTACGATATTTGTTCATTTCCTGAAGAAAACTAAAAGGAGGAAAATTCAATACTTCCTTGCTTTTTATTTCATTCGGGACAATTAGAGAGGCATTAGTGTTGCTAGCCTTTCAAGTGATGCAAATGGGAGAGACCAATCCGCTATGTCCTTCTCACCTATCATAGTTTAGTGCAGGTGAGACAACCCAAGGAATTGGCCACACCTTTCTATTCCAGGTATTTGAGAGGGCACTGATATTCTGTGGGACCTATGGAAGGATGGCTTCCAACCTACTAGCAGTTGATGCAAAAGGATTGGTATCCAGTAGAATAGTGATCTCATGTTTTCCTAGATCAAAGTCTGTTATTTGCACCCTGAGACAGCTAAGCCATTAATGACTATTTCAATGCCAGTATTGGGAATCTATTTTGCAGACTGCATACCAGAATGGGGAAAAAAAAGCATTAATAGCACCATTCTGTGTTTGCAAAGCAGTCAAAGTTGTCTCTGTGTGAACCCGAAATGTTAAGAAAGCCATCGCTTCACAGCGGAGGGAAAATATCACAATTTCTAGCATTAAACACAGCTAGGGCCTGGGCTTCTGTTATTATTGCTAATTTCTTCCAGAATACACAGAGATGACAATCTAATGATCTGTGCAAATGTGATATAGCAGCTATATTATTCAAAGTATATTCTGGTGCAGAAATTGCATGAGGCAGGATTTCAAGTGAATACTGGATGGATCTTCAACGGGGTTGGACTAGATGACCTCCAAGGTCCCTTCCAACTCTGTTACTGTTTACTGGGGCCAAATTAGAGACTGACCTCCCCCCTTAAACACGCATTGCCTTAATCTGGTCAGACAGTACTTTTAATACCTATGACTAGATTTAATACTGAATCAAAACCGTAACTTAAAACTGACCTTTAAAGTCCCAGTTACACTGACATTCTGATTGATTTAACAATTGGGATTAAGGTACCACTTCATTGGGATTAAGGAAAAAGGAACTGGAGGCTGTTTTCATAGTTTAGAGAGACACACCCCTGCATAGGACAGAGCTAGGTAATTTCTTTCCAATGCTGGGATTATTAAAAAAAAATCTTTGCAGCTGCAGGAAAATTCAAAAGACAGACCTGTGCTTTGGAGAAAAGGAATGCCCACGCAACAGGATCAAATCCCTTTTCCAACCAGTTAGCGCAACCCAAAGCAGCCTCTTGCTGGTTCTGTCTTACACTGTTAGTGACACAACCGAAGAGTTATTTTGCCTAAAACTGGGGTTGCTAAGAGGACATACTGTGCAGGACAGGATCTACCTCAAAAAACCAGCCGATCTAGAAATTACATAGTAGGACAACCAATTAATACTGCTCGATTAAAGAGATGAGAAGCTAGCCAAAAATACAGATTCCGGAGGCTTTTCCCATGGCAGGGTCGGCACAGAATACTGAAATTCAGCTCATGAGACCAGCACTTTGGGACTTTCCCTGTAGCTTCTGTTACCAGAGCAATCTAACCAGTTCCTCACCTGCTGCTGGTGGATGTTGACCACTAACCATTGGTAAATCCAGAGAGCTATCAGACAGGACATGCTTAAGGTCTCCTCCCACGTCTGCCAGTTTCATATCAAACTGGACAGAGAGGGCGTCTTCCGAATCCTCCTTGCCCACGCTGCTGCCCCCAATGGATGGGAGGTCGAGAGACTTGACGGATGCCGAGTCCTCCTTGGTATGCTTGAAAGCGGCCAGTTTGTCGACGAGGGATTTTTCCGAGCTGGAGGAAAACTTGCTCGAGTGGAAATCGGCAAAGTCGTCTTCGCTTTTCACCGATGAAGGAGTATGGTCTTTGAGGTCCTCGAATCCCAACCCGGGGCTGTCCAGAGACAGCTGCTTGAAGATGTCGTATTTGTTGGAAGCAGCAATGGGACTCTGCCCGTTCTTCATGGCACTGGCTAAGGAGCCAGTTGAGGGAACCGAGTTGGCCTCTTGCTTGAGGACCCCGTATTTATCATCCAACTGCTGCTCCAGAGAGACGGCGTTGTTGTTGAAAGCCATGAAGTCTGCAAACTCGTCCTGAGTGGTAGCCGAAGGACAACTTGACAACCCTCCAAAAAGGTTGAAATCAGCAAAGTTGCCGGCCAGGGCCGAGCCGCTGCCTGGTGCGGGAAGAGTAGTGGCAGCTGATATTGTGTGTGATGGTGTAGCAAAAGTTGCCAGTTTGGGGGAACTGTACGCGGATGGAAAGAGAGCGGGTTGACTCTCTCCAGTCGAGGCTGAGGAGAACAGATCCAGGTCTGCCAAATTCAGAGAAGGCTTTGCTTGGGGTTGTGGTTTGGACTGTATGGAAAGAGAAGAGAAAGAGGAAGGAAATGCTTTGTCCTTTGTCGGCGGTTCTAGTGGAGAGATGCTGTCCGCGGTTTTGAAATCGGTGAAGCCGTCGTCTGTCCCCGGGGACTTGAAATCGGCAAAGCTCTCGCCTGGAAAACAAGAGAACAGATAGCAAAGTCCATAGGTTTTCCTGAACATTTTAACAGGCTCAACCGAGTATCATATTTGCTAACTCCCACCTGGTTCAAAATTCTCCCTGAACTAATTTTATTTTGTCCACTTTCCATTTTATTTCTCCTCGAGGACTCCAGGTGAATAATCTTTTAATGTTTTCCAAAATAAAAATGCATAAATAAGAAGTAATAAGCACAAAAATGAGGTACGTTAAGGAATGGAAGGTTCTGTTGATTCCAAGGGAAATGTAGGGGGGAAAAGTGACAGAACTTGGGGGCGGAGTTAAAAGAGGGAATCAGCCTAGAATCCCTACATAGCCAAGGTCAAATCCCCTTGAGTGTGGTTGACTCTTATCTAACCAGGTTAGCTGAGAAGATTCCTGTGCATAGGTATGAATACTAATAAAGGAATATATTTGTACCTCAGGGTTGACACAAGGTCCTTGGTGCTCTCTGACCTTGTTTTATTTATTTATTAGTTCAATTTATATGCCGCCCTCCTCCAAAGACTCAGGGCAGGTTACAATGCACTTATAGCAATAGCCTTCATTCTTTTGTATATACCTGCTTATTAGGGCTTTTTGGCCCCCCATAAGCGGTGATTCTACAAAGTCAGCTTATTGCCCTCACAATCCGGGTCCTCAATTTACCTACCTCGGAAGGATGGAAGGCTGAGTCAACCTTGAGCCTGGTGAGAACTCGCACTAATTGCAGGCAGCTAAGTGCTACATAACAGCACTTAGTCCGCTGCACCATTAAGGCTCTTCTTGCAGATGTTTTATTACCCAAACTAGGTAACATCATCAGTGCTAGCAAGAAAACAAGCAAGCTCAGAGAGCACCAAAGACCCTTCATAGACCTGAATAGCAACAAATCAATTTAATTGGACCTTCAGGTGTGGACCTGACCATTTGTGCTTGACCAGAAAGTACGTAAAGTATGTATTTATGCACCTTCTCCTCTTTTGGTAGCCAGGTGGAGCCCTTAATATTAAGTTATTGTTATCCACTGGGGACCAAGCTATGAGTGGATCTTTTTAAAAATTATTTCTGGAATATATAGACTGCTCCAATCTTCTGTCATGATTCTGGGCAGCTGACAGAATACAGCAGTAAGGAATAAAAGATTAAAAACAAAGATCGTACTGCCCAAAAATGAACGTCTTGGAAAAACTAAGGTCTCTTCAAAAGACCAAAACATTAGACGCTAACACAAACCTGGGATTAGAGGCAGATTTTAATGGTCTGTTTCAACAGGACCTCAATGGGAGCCATATAAATCCCCCCCAGGGATGGATGGTGTGTGGGCAGGGGCCATGAGAGGTGAACCCCACTCCCTTGGTCTCACCAGGTGAGCTGTGGGACCGAGAGCACACCGAGCTTTGTCAGAATGTGTGGTATGGCCAAAAACTATGAGGGATAAGAGTTCCCACAACTAATCAGGTCCTCTGTCACGTGGAGCCTTTTATGTAATAACTAGCACCTTTTAACAGAAAAGATATTTGCAGCTAAGGGTTGAACTGTGGAGTCCTGCTGGTGGTTATCTTGCAGATAGGAAAAGCCTTGGTGGCGCAGCAGACTAAAGTGCTATTAAGTAGCACCAGCTGCCTGCAATTACTGCGAGTTCAAATCTCACCAGGCTCAAGGTTGACTCAGCCTTCCATCCTTTTGAGGTAGGTAAAATGAGGACCCGGATTGTGGGGGCAATAAGCTGACTTTGTATAAAATAGAACACCCCTTAGTGGGGACTGAAAGCCCTACTAAGCAGGTATATACAAAAGTATGAAGGCTATTGCTTAACGCATTGTAAGCCACCCTGAGTCTCTGGAGAAGGGCGTCATATAAATCGAACCAATAAATAAATAAATAAATAAATTTCATTACCCTTGCACTGATGACATGACCTAGTTGGGTAATGAAACGTCTGCGAGAAAACCACCAAGCTCAAAGAGCAGCAAGGAGTCTACTACTAGCGCCATGAAGGCACTCAGGAGCCTACTGTCAACCGCACAATTCACAAAGAGGACGTGTTACGTGCCCTTAACTGCCTGTGCCACCATTTTGGGTGATGGTGACTTTTTCTAGAATGCTGCAGCGTGAGTCTGTTTGCCATCTTAGAAACCCACAAAACTACATTTTGGACTAAAGGGGTTTCTGAGGGACATGAGAATTTGGGAGGCCTTCCAAAGTCCTAGGGTGCGAATTTCTCACCATTGTTGTGAAAGAAATGAGTGTGTTGTGTTATTTGTAGTGGTGTGTGTGTGTTTGGGGATTGTTATGTGTGATGGAGTTCCAGTGAGTTCTAGGGCCACCTTAGGCATGAAAGCTGGCTAGGTGACTTTGGGCCAATCACCAGGAGCCTGTGAATTCTAGTTCCGCTTTAAGCATGAAAGATATCTGGGTGACTTTGTGCCAATCATTCTCTCTCAGCCCAACCCACCTCACAGGGTTGTTGTTGTGGGGAAAATAGGAGGAGGAAGGCGCATTGGGTATATTCACTGCCTTAAGTTATTTGTAAAAAATAAATAAATAAAGACGGGATACAAACATATAAACAGAAATAAATGGGGTCACTAAGAGTCTACGTTGATTTGATCGCCCATCATTATAACTAATCACATACAAATGGTTAGTTTAAAACGGAATATTTACTTAACTTCTTCAAATTTGGCTTAACCCATTCACCAGCAGGAAGTAGAAACAACAAAATGGTGAAGAAAATAACTTTAAATTCAACGCAAATTAAGGTTTGTTCGTTATGTCTGTATCTACCCAGCTACAGCCACATCCATGGGCAAGCACACACTTCATTTTTAATAAAATATTCAAATTACCATCACCAAAGCCAAAATAATAATAATAATAATAATAATAATAATAATAATAATAATAATAATAATAATAATAAACACCCAGTCAAGTCAGTTTCCCAAATGCTGCAGTAGCAAATCAACAGATCGGTCTTTGAGGCAGATGTAAATTCTGAGCAGTTGAGAGACTTCAGGGAGATTCTCCTGAAAAGTGGTATAAGTATCACCTTTCCCGAAGCTCATTTGTGAAACTGACAATACCCCAAGACCAAGAAATGGGCACAGCAAAACTTGACTTACAGATGGGTTGCAAGCTTTTCCGTTAGAAATGTAAGCTGGTGAAAGGGTTAAAAGTGATAAAAAAAACACAGTTCAAAACCAACTTGCCTCTTCTGCCTGAAAATGAAATACAGGTAGTCCTCGATTTACAATGATTTCTTTAGTGACCGTTCGAAGTTACAACGGCACTGAAGAAAGTGACTTATGCCTGTCTTTCACATTTACGACCGTTGCAGCATTCCACCCCCACCATGTCCCGTGATCTAAATTCGGATGCTTGGCAACTGATTCATATTTATGACAGTTGCAGTGTTCTGGGGTTATGTGATTCCCTTTTGCGACCTTCTGGCAAGCAAAGTCTATGGGGAAGCCAGATTCACCTTAAACCAGTGTTACTAAATTAACAACTGCAGTGATTCACTTAACAACTGTGGCACGAAAGGTCGTAAAAGGGGGCAAAACTCACTTAACAAATGCCTCACTTAACAACAGAAATTTGGGGCTCAACTCTTGTACATAATTAGCAGACTGTTGAGTTGTGTAAAGGAAAATTGTAATAAAAATTATTTGGAAAAAAAAATTACATTACAATTTTACCCAAAGGAAAAAAAAAAAGAAAGAAAGAAATTTGGGGCTCAATTGTGGTTGTAAGTCGAGAACTACCTGTATTGGGCTACCTACCAGGTTTCCACATGGCAGAAGAAACTTTTGAACTCATTCAGTTAAGCATGTAGAAGATGTCCAACAAACCTATCACGCCTGTCATGTTAACATTATTCACAGCACAAAAACAGTACTTTCAGTGACAATGAGTCAATGAGGATATTGTTTCACCATTTTCAAGGATATTGTCCCTTAATTCCCACCACCTTTCTATAATTATGTTAAAATCAAACATGGATGCAATATTTAGGGAGTAGGTAGATGGTCCTCACTTTTTAATAGTATTTTTAAACACCCCCCTCCCCACATGATCTACAGGGGCATGGCAGGAATAAGAGGGTTCATGGCTCTTTCAGCTCCTAGTAGAGACTTCAAAACCCATTTTAGCCGTGTGTGTGTGTGTGTGTGTGTGTGTGTGTGTGTGTGTGTGTGTGTATGAGAGAGAGAGAGAGAAGATAAGACAAATAGGCTGCTGAATGTTAATAGGGCAAGCCCTGGGGAATGCATTCCTATGCTACAAACTCATCCGATAGTAGAACTCAAAGTTTGTTTGTTTGTTTGTTTGTTTGTTTGTTTGTTTGTTTGTTTCTTTCTTTCTTTCTTTCTTTCTTTCTTTCTTTCTTTCTTTCTTTTTTCTTTTTTTCTTTCTTTCTTTCCTTTCTTTCTTTTTCTTTCTCTCTCCCGCCTTCCTTCCCTTCCTTTTCTCTCTCTCTCTTTTTCTCTCTTTCTTACCTCCTTCCTGCCTGGCTGCAATTTTATTCTACATCCCTATATGACTCACTTTCTAGAATATTTTGTGCTGTAGCAGGGTTATGTTACAGCTGAACTGGCTGTGAACCCAAGTTTAAAAATGCACTCTCCCAATCTGGAGATATATAAAGAAAGCTGGTTGCATCAAACTAACCTCAGCCATTGTTACTCATGGGATAACTGCCAACCCTCTTCTAAAACCACACACACACACACACAGAGACACACACACATACACAAACAAACTTTTACAGACAGAAAAACCATGCCATGCAGAAGAAATGGATTTTGATGACAGAAATTACATCTTTCTCAGAATATGCAAGATACTTAACCTCATAGACCTTATGCAGATTTCCTTTCTAATTATCTGCTTTAAAAGGACCTCTCATTTCTTGCAGGTACATACATAAGTAACAACAAAGGGAGATTTGGATAGTAAGCTTATAGCTTATAAATTGAATGAATAAATGAATGAATGAATGAATGAATGAATGAATGAATGAATGAATAGAATACAATACAATTCTTTACTGGCCAAGTGTGATTGGACACACAAGGAATTTGTCTTTGGTGCATACGCTCTCAGTGTACATAAAAAGACAAGATACATTCGTCAAGAATCATAAGGTACAACACTTAATGATAGTCATAGGGTATAAATAAGCAATCAAATCATACTAGGAAACAATCAATATAAATCGTAAGGATACCAGCAACAAAGTTACAGTCATACAGTCATAAGTGGGAGGAGATGTGTGATAGGAACGATGAGAAGGCTGAAAGGAAGGAAGGAAGGAAGGAAGGAAGGAAGGAAGGAAGGAAGGAAGGAAGGAAGGAAGGAAGGAAGGAAGGAAGGAAGGAAGTTGTGTCTCTTTTTGATGGTTCTCCATAACTTAGCAATAGCATTAGACTTATATACTGATCCATAGTGCTTTATAGCAGGGGTCTCCAACCCCCGGGCCCATTTGGAACGAGGCCACAAAAGCTGCGGGCGAGCATGTGGGAAGCTCCATTCACACGAGTGGCAGGTGCTCACACTCACGTGGGAAGCTCCATTTGTACAAGCGGCAGGTGCATGCACCCGCCCCTTCTGTAAAATGGAGCTGTGAGCAACAAGGCACGCCTGCTGCTTGTGCAGAACCAACCCCTGTCCCCTCCCCACCGGTCTGCAAAGCCGGAAAGATTGGAGACCCCTGATTTATAGCTCTCTCTAAGTGGTTTACAGAGTCAGCCTATTGCCCCCCAACAACCTGGGTCTGCATTTTACCAACCTCGGAAGGATGGAAGACTGAGTCAACCTTGAGCTGGTCAGGATCAAACTCCTAGCAGTGGGTAGAGTTAGACTGAAATAGCAATAGCACTTAGACTTATATAGCACTTTACAGTGCTTTACAGTCTTCTCTAAGCGGTTTACAGAGTCAGCCTATTGCCCCCCAACAATCTGGGTCTGCATTTTACCAACCTCGGAAGGATGGAAGACTGAGTCAACCTTGAGCTGGTCAGGATCAAACTCCTAGCAGTGGGTAGAGTTAGACTGAAATAGCAATAGCACTTAGACTTATATAGCACTTTACAGTGCTTTACAGTCTTCTCTAAGCGGTTTACAGAGTCAGCCTATTGCCCCCCAACAATCTGGGTCTGCATTTTTCCAACCTCGGAAGGATGGAAGACTGAGTCAATCTTGAGTCTCATCAGGATTGAACTCCTGGCTGTGGGCAGAGTTTGCCTGCAGTACTGCATTCTAACCGGCTCTTGCATTTAAAGAGAGGCTGCTTATACAGGCAGTCCTCGACTTACAACAGTTGGTTTAGTGACTGTTCAAAGTTTCAACGGCACTGAAAAATGTGACTCAGGATCATTTTTCATTCTTACGACCTTTGCAGCATCCCCATGATCATGTGATCAAAATTTGGATGCTTGGCAACTGGTTCGTATTTATGACAGTTGTAGTGTCCCAGGGTCATGTGATCCTCTTCTGTGACCTTCTGACATGCAAAGTCAATGGGGAAGCCAGATTCACTTAACAAGTGGGTTACTAACTCACCGATTGCAGTGATTCACTTAACATCGGTGGCAAGAAAAATCGTAAAATGGGGCAAAATTCATTTAACAAATGTCTCACTTGGCAACAGAAATTTTGGGCTCAGTTGTGGTCGTAAGTCGAGGACTAACTGTACTTATGGAAACTATTTAAGCCAGAGGATGGATTAGCATTCTGCAGTGTTTTGGGCACATTCCCAAGAATGGACACTGACCTAAAACACCTTCCCATATGTTCTGTCCTGCAGTAAAATAGCTTTTTCTTCTCAGTGACTTAGCTTAATATCATCCTAAGTGTTTATTCCGACTTTGGGGTGGGGGAACCTCAGGGTCTCATAATGTGACGGACATTTCCTCCCCTTTTAATTGAGAATAACGGGCTTTGAGATTTGGGACCTTCAGGATACAATTCTGTATCCTGAACCCCCCAAATGAAATGCGCATGCGGCCCCCATCCATGTGCCCCGGCCCCTGTACATGCTCCGCCCCCCACGCATGCGCGGCAGAGACCCAAAGGTCAGCTGGCTGGAGGGAGGTGCGTGCGCATGCCCAGCGGAGCTGAACTGGGGTGACGGCTTGCATGCCATCAGAGAGGGTGCTGCGTGCCACCTCTGGCACGCAAGCCATACGTTCGCCATCACCGTTCTAGGATCTCCACCAGACCCAAATTTAACCAGTGACAGAGATCATTAGAAAGCCCAAGGAAGGCTGATCTTGGAAGGTTCTGCACTGGATAAAACTTACCTATAGATTTACTCTCCGATGGCTGCTCCAGTTCTCGAAAAGCACTGTATTTATCTCCATAATCTATGGTGTATATTTTAAAAAAAAGAGAATGTAGTTAAAATTCTGATAGAGATCCAGAATGTTACTGTTTTACAGTAGCATGCGGCCGGTATTTTATTTATTATTTATTCAATTGTTATGCCACCCATCTCCCCTACAAGGTGACTCTGGGCACTTTACAAGTTGTAATATAATATTGAAAGGCTTTCAAGTTTTTGCCAGAGCCAGTTCTGACAAGACCACCCTGCCTCAATCCAAATTAGTCAGTTATCAAAATAGGTAGTAAATAAAGGTAAAGGTAAAGGTTCCCCAAGCACATATGTGCTAGTCGTTTCCGAGTCTAGGGGGCGGTGCTCATCTCCGTTTCAAAGCCAAAGAGCCAGCGCTGTCCAAAGAAGTCTCCATGGTCATGTGGCCAGCATGACTAAATGCCAAAGGCGCACGGAACGCTGTTACCTTCCCACCAAAGGTGGTCTCTATTTTTTCTACTTGCATTTTTTACGTGCTTTCGAACTGCTAGATTGGCAGAAGCTGGGACAAGTAACAGGAGCTCATCCCGTTAGGCAGCACTAGGGATTCAAACCCCTGAACTGCTGACCTTTTGATCAACAAGCTCAGCATCTTAGCCACTGAGCCACCATGTCCCCTGGGGAGTAAATAGTTCTGCCCAAAACAGAAGGGCTTTAAACCGATCTTCCAGGTAGGGTGGAATGCACGTTTAAAGCTCTGATAGTCACAATGAATCCTGGAGTGGAGTTGCAAAGAGGAAGAGGAGGAGTTGATGTTCTCTGAGCTTGGCTGTTTGCTTGCAGACATTTCATCAGCACTGATGATGTTACGGAGTTGGGTAATGAAATGTCTGCAAGAAAACAACCAAGCACAGAAAGCACCAAGGATCCCACAATAGTTGATAGTTCCACCCAGAATCTGAAGATTCAGTTGGAAGACAGAAAAACACATTGCTACTCCCTACGGAGGGACAAAATGAAAACCTAATTTTGCTTAATTTAAAAGAAAAAATAAGAGAGCAAAGTTACGCTGGGTATACCTCTTGAAATCTCAGAGAAAATGCCCTTGGAGGCCTCTTAGGCTACGCCCTTAACAATGAAAGGATGGATTTGAGAACTTAAAGCAGATTGCTTGGGAGAAAGGGAGGGGGGGATCCCCTCTCCAGTGAAACAGGGAAACTGGTAGAAAGTAAGACTTAGATTTAGAATAACTTTATTGTCACTTTAAATGTACACTAATCGGCATACAGTAAAATGAAATTTTGTTGCATACAGCTCTCAAAGGATCATCACCTCCAATATAACTACATAAACATGACAAAAATATAAATGAATGAATGAATGAATGAATGAATAAGCAAGTAGGTAGGTAGGTAGGTAGGTAAGTAGGTAGGTAAGTAGGTAGGTAGGTAAGTAGGTAGGTAGGTAGGTAGGTAGGTAGGTAGGTAAGTAATTAAGTAAGTAAGTAAGTATATATTGTATGACATAGAGAAACAACATGGTCTAAGGCAGGGGTGTCAAACTTGATTTCATTGAGGGCCGCATCAGGTTGTGCTTGACCTGGGGGACTGGGTGATGGTGGGCATGCCCGGGATGGGCGTACCTGGGGTGGACGTGGCCAGGGTGGGCATGTCCAGCTCGATGTCACTTATCGAGGCTCCCTTTTCAGTCGCGACGGTCTCCTGCAGCCCTCTGCCAGCGAAAATGGAGGTGCAGCCCGCCCGCATTCTGTTTTCATCCGTGACGGCCTCCTGCAGCCCTCTGCCAGCGAAAATGGAGCCGGGCAGGCCGCGCGTGGCCTACCTGAGCTCCATTTTTGCTGGCGGAGGGCTGCAGGAAGCCGTCATGTCCGAAAATGGAGCGAAATTGGTGTGTTTTGGTCTCTTTCCTTTTTCGCTTTTTGATTGTCCCCTTTGAATGTAAGAAAAGTGGAGGGGAAAAATATCACATTTACAAAGGTAACTTTTTTTGGAAAAAATGCCCAAGTACCTTCAGCAGGCTTGTCAGATGCAATCCCCTTAAAAACAGCATACTTATCCACAGCAGGAGTCACTTTGGGGCCCGAAAGGGGTATCAGCATTGAAGGAGCACTAAAGAAAGGAAAGAAGAGAAGTCGAAAGCATAATTGGAAAAGGAGGGATATGAGATCCAGGTAGTCCTTGACTTATAACTGTTCATTTAGGAACTGTTTGAAGTTATAACAACACTGAACAAAGGATTTATGATTATTTTTCACATATTTACGACCACTGCAGCATCCCCATGCTCATGTCATCAAATTTTGGCAACTGGCTCATATTTATGACGGCTGCAGTGTCCCGCAGTCATTTGATCCTCTTTTGCGACCTTCTCACAAGCAAAGGTCAATGGGGAAGCTGGATTCACTTAACATCTATGTAACCAACTTAACAACTGCAGTGATTCAAATGACAACTGTGGCAAGAAAAGTCGTAAAATGCAGCAAATGTCTCACTTAACATCTGTCTCGCTTAGTAACAGAATTTTTGGGCTCAATTGTGGCCGTAAGTCAGGGACAACTGTATTGGGATAGACCTGGGATAATAATAATCTAGAAAAAAATTATGATCAATATCAGTTCTGGTCATGCAACAATTTTACTCAGAATAAAATATGGGATATGGATGTTTCAGGCATATATCAGAATGAAGGAAGCCACAAAGAACAAATACCGTATTTTTCGGACTATAAGACGCACCGGTGTATAAGACGCACCAAGATTTTGAAGAGGTAAGTAAGAAAAAAAAAGTTTTCGCCGTCCCCCAGCCACCAGGAGCACTCTGCAGGCCTCCCAAACCCTCTGCAGGCCCCGGTTTTTGTAAAAACGGGCCCATTTTTCACAAAAATGGGACGAGCGGGGAGGGGCTTCGGGAGGCCAAAAATGGCTGTATTCAGTGTATAAGAAGCACCAATATTTCTACCCTCTTTTGGGGGGGGGGAAGTGCGTCTTATACTCCGAAAAATACGGGTATGTCCAATGCCTGCCAATCTTTATGTTAAACATTCTCTGAAAATATTTTTGGAACAACTACTTAGAATATGGAAAATCAGCTTGCCACCTACAAACATTCTGTCACAAAATTAAAGCCCTTTTCTTAAGTGGTGTATTTTAACTTTTAAAGAGGGGGCCTGCATCTCAATGCACAAGACAAGAAGGTACAGAATCAGTGAATAACAGAATAACATAGTTGGAAGGGACCTTGGAGGTCTTCTAGTCCATTCCCCTGCTTAAACAAGAAATTCTACCTATACCATTCCAGACAAGTTGCTGTACAGTCTCTTCTTAAAAACTTCCAGTGTTGGATTAATTGTGGAATATAGGTAGATTTACGACCGCAATTGAGACAAAAATTTCTGTTGTTATGCGAGATATTTGTTAAGAGAGTTTTGTCCCATTTCACGACCTTTGTTGTTACAATTGTTAAGTGAATCTGGCTTTCCCATGGAATTTGTTCGTCAGAAGGTTGCAAAACCTTCATCCCAGGATACTGCAATTGTCATAAATGAGTCAGTTGCCATTTCTTTTTACTACCAGTTCTGTGGGCTTGGCTTGGTGGGCGTGGTGTGGCTTGGTGGGCGTGGCTTGGTGGGTGTGCCAGGGGAAGGACACTGCAAAATTTCCATTCCCACCCCACTCTGGGGCCAGTCAGAGGTGGTATTTGCCGGTTCTCTGAACTACTCAAAATTTCTGCTACCGGTTCTCCAGAACCTGTCAGGACCTGCTGGTTTTCACCCCTGGTTTGAATTCAGGACAAGTGACCATGGGGATGCTGCAATGGTCATAAATGTGAAAAATGATCGTAAGTCCCCTTTTTTCAGTGCTGTTGTAACCTCGAACGGTCACTAAATGAACTGTTTAAGTCGAGGACTACTGTACTTGGATTAGCAGCGAATCCAACAAGGAAAGAAATCCAGTTGCCATGACTCCACTGAAAGACATTTATGGAGATGTGACTCAGTTTTGCACAGAGTCTCTAAACTTGTTCTTTTATCATGGATCAAACCGTTCATCATTGATCAAGCACTTTCATGGAGTGCTCCCAAAGAAAAGCTTATTTGAGCAATTAATCTTGTTAAACAATTACATTTATCCTGAGGAAATGACTGATTAGAACCAGTTCCTGATGAAACACCTTCTACCCCAATTCTGACATTTGTTTTAGACTTCTGTTCAGATCAGGGGTGTCAAATTCGATTTCATTGAGGGCCGCGTCAGGGCTGTGTTTCACCCTGGGGGGCCGGGGTGGGTGTGGCCAGGGTGGGCGTGGCCATCTCGATGTCCCTCGTGTCGGGGACACCTGTGGACTGGAGGCCATCACAGCCGAAAACGGAGATTGGGAGGGCCACGCATGGCTCTCCTGAGCTCTGTTTTCACTGGCAGAGTCATCACACGCCGGTCCTTCACTGTTTCCAGGGCAACCCCGCGGACCAGATCTTATCACCCTGCGGGCTGGATCCGGCCCGCGGGCCTTGAGTTTGACATCCCTGATTCAGATCAATACAGTGATTAGCTATGACTATGCTAATGGTAACGATATTATTGAGGCTTTTCAAATCATCAGAATCACCATTCTACTAAACGTAGAGATGAGCACTTAACGTTTGCTTTTGACAGCAGGAGAACATTTTTCATTTTTTCCCCTTGTTTTTATTTTCTCGGGCCTTTTAAATCCTTTTAGCGCCTCCAGTGTAGCACTGTTATTTTTAATGCTCCTTTAGATGCTTTTCCTATCCTGCTAGGTTGCTGAATTATTTATCTGTGTATCATTTTACTCAGTTTTGTGAGCTACCTTGAGAATGACAAGTGAGAAAAGGCAGGATAGGAAAGAGATGAAATGAAGGAAGTACAGGTAGTCCTCGACTTACAACCATTTGTTTAGTGACTATTCTGTCAGGCCTGGAAGCCATCTTTTTCACTGGATCTTCAGGCCTGCCACATTTACTACTGTGGGAAACTGGGACGGGGGATTTTATGCAACCAGGGTGATATACAGTCATAATAACATTCCTTTCTCAGAGAGTCAAGGACATCTTGCCCTGCACCTGGAGGGGTGTGACTGGGAGGCATCTCCAGTTGGGACGGTGCTTTGATTGGACCTTGTGATGGACATGTGGGTGCTGAGCAGGGTCTTGAACTTTCCTTTGGGTGGGGAAAACCTGGAAGCTTTCAGATTCGGTTTTTCCCAGATGTGCCAATGTGACATCTCTAATAAAGTGGAACTTTGAGGAAACTCAAGCCTCGGAATTTTCTTTTGTTGGGGGTGTTACTTGGAACCCTGACACGTTCGAGGTTACAATGGCACTGAAATCTCGTGATCATACTTATGACTGTTGCAGCATCCTCAAGCTTGCGTGATTCTTTATTTATTTATTCTTTATTGGACAAGTGTGATTGGACACACAAGGAATTTGTCTCCAGTGCATAAGCTCTCAGTGTACATACAAGCAGCAAGTGCTTTTTTCAAGAGGCAACTGGACTTATTTGTTTTTCTTTGAAGATTTTTCACTTCTCATTCAAGAAGCTTCTTCAGCTCTGACTGGATGGTGGGGAAATGGAAGGATTTATATTCCTTGCAGACTGCTGGTCATTTGCATTCTTTTTAGAGAGTCATTGAGGCCACCTGGAGGTTTATCTGTGCCCTCAGGGTCACCTGAGTAATGCAAATGGCTGTGGAGCTTTCTTAGAACTGAAAAGACTGTGTAGTTGTAGACTGTGTTGAAGGTTCCACACCCATTTGCACTATTCAGATGACCCTGAAGACTCCAGGTGGCCTCAATGACCCTTTAAAAGAATGCAAATGACCAGCTGTCTGCAAGGAATATAAATCCTTCCATTCCCCACCATCCAGTCAGAGTTGAAGAAGCTTCTTGGATGAGAAGCAAAACGTCTTCAAAGAAAAAAGAGAAAGTCCAGTTGCCTCTTGAAAAAGCACCTTTGGGACAGGTGTGACTGACTAACAACCACGTTGCTTACCAAAGGAAATTCTGATGCCAATTGGGGTCCTAAGTTGAGGATTAGCTGTATTCCCCACTGAATAGAATTATATCCTATGTCACCTGTTGAGCAATGGAAAGCATGGCTGCTGGCTTAAGAAGGATGCATGCAATTTTTGAAGATCATTTTAATGGCTTATAGAATCTGGTGTAAAGTGGGAGCTTTTATGAGTTGTTCCTACCACCACCAAACATTCAAGGAAATATAGAAGATACAGGTAGTCCTCAACTTGTGACCACAATTGAGCCCAAAATTTATGTTGTTAAGTGAGACATTTGTTAAGTGAGTTTTGCCCCATTTTACGACTTTTGTTTGCCACAGCTGTTAAGTGAATCATTGCAGTTGTTCAGTTAGTAACACGGATGTTACTTGAATCTGGCTTCCCCATTGACTTTGCTTCTCTGAAGGTCACAAAAGGGGATTACATGACCCCAGGACATTGCAACCGTCATAAATAGGAGTCAGTTGCCATGCATCCAAATTTTGATCATGTGACTATGGGGATGCTGAGACAGTCATAAGTGTGAAAAATATTTGTAGGTTATTTTTTTCAGTGCTGTTATCACTTTGAATGGTCACTAAATGAACTGTTGTAAGTCTAGATTACCTGTAATGTAGCTTTGATCCAAGAGGAAGAATACAATACTTAATGAGGATTGGGAAACTTTCATGGTTTGCCGAAAAAAAGAAAATTATAAAAGATTTACACATACTGGCCCTGGAAATAAGCTACCCAGAGTCATTGTCATTAACACCAGCTGTCTGCAATTACTGTAAATTCGAATCTCACCAGGCTCAAGGTTGACTCAGCCTTCCATCCTTTCTAAGGTAGGTAAATTGAGGACCCAGTTTGTGGGGGCAATAAGCTGACTTTGTATAAATATACAAAAGTATGAAGGCTATTGCTTAATGCATTGTAAGCCGCCCTGAATTTCCGGAGAAGGGCGGCATATAAATCAAATTAAAAAATAAATAAATTGAGAGTGTGTTGAGTGGCCATATAAATTTTCTTAAATTAAAAAAGAACAACACCCGTTTATGTTGATTACGATGTTTAGCATGGAGGATTCTGGGAATTCAAGTCCATGCATCCCAAAGTTGTCGAGGCTGAGAAATACTGACCTGGTCTATATCTTCTCAACTTGATTAAAAAGCGTTATGCAAAAAACGACGGTTACACGAGAGGGTCAAATTCTTTACCTGCTCCGCTGCTGTGCTGCTAACGTTTTCTTTGATCCGGGCGCTTCCCCTTGAAAATCTGTAAAAGTATCATCAAGTCCCCCTGACTTGGACGCATCTTGGAAATCCTGGAAGTCGTCATCATCTATTTTTGCAACCTAGAGATTTGAAGGACACGTAAGAACTTTTTCCAGGAGAATAGGCATAGGCATAGGCATAGGCATAGGCAAGGAATGGAATGGAATAGGAATAGGAATAGGAATAGGAATAGGAATAGGAATAGGAATAGGAATAGGAATAGGAATAGGAATAGAATAGAATAGAATAGAATAGAATAGAATAGAATAGAATAGAATAGAATAGAATAGAATAGAATAGAATAGAATAAGAGCATAATTTTAATTTTAGACATAGGACCATATTTGCATGCAGATTTTTCAAGGTTTATTACTTCCTCGTTTTAACGGTTAGCTGCAGGAAACACCAATACATGGCATCTATAAGCACCGCAACAAATAGTACTGTCCTTTCTGAGCCTACCAACTAGGGTAGGGTAGGGTAAGGTAGGGTAGAATAGAATAGAATGGAATGGAATGGAATGAAATGGAATGGAATGGAATGGAATAGAATAGAATAGAATAGAATAGAATAGAATAGAATAGAATAGAATAGAATAGAATAGAATAGAAATAATAGAACAGAACAGAACAAAAAGAATAGAATAGAATAGAAATAATAGAATAGAATAGAATAGGAATAGGAATAGGAATAGGAATAGGAATAGGAATAGGAATAGGAATAGGAATAGAATAACAGAGTTGGAAGGGACCTTAGAGACCTTCTAGTCCAACCCCCTGCACAGGCAGGAAACCCTATACCCATGATGGTGAACCTATGGCACGCATGCCGGAAGTGGCATGCAGAGCCATCTCTCCAGGCATGCTGGGGAACTGCTCTTCCTGTTTCTGGTGCTCTTGTGCGTGCGCACTGGGAAACTGCTCTTCCGGTTTCCAGCACTCCCACGCATGCATGCTAGGTAGCTGCTCTTCTGGTTTCTGGTGCACCCCCGCACGCACTTCAGGCACGCGGGCCATAGGTTCGCCATCACGGGTATAGGGCATGGGTGTCAAAACTTGCAATATTTTCCCCCTTCACGGAGCTGGGATGGGCGTGGCCTGTGCATGACACATCCGGCCCGCGGGCCGCCAGTTTGCCATCCCTGGTATAGGGTCTCCTGCTTGAGGAGGGGGATGGACTGAAAGACTCCAAACTCCCTTCCAGCTCTATTCTGATTGATTGATTGATTGAAAACCTGAAAGCTTTGTTGTTTGTATATACGGATTGCACCATATATACAACCACAAATTGTTTTTTATTTTTAGTCCATGAATCTATACGACTGATAAGCTCCTATACCACTCATGGTGAACCTTTTTGCCATCGTGTGCCAAAAGTGGGAGCGCGGGGGGGAGGGGTGTCGCAAACACGTGCCCACACCCATAATTCAATATGCCCCCGTGCAGGCAAGCAACCCCCCTGCGTTCCCTCTGCAGAGGGATGGCCCGGTGGGCCCGGTAGGCATGTTCTTCGCCCTCCCCAGGCTCCAGAGGCTTTCTAGGAGCCTGGGGAGGGTGAAAACGGCCTTCCCCACCCTCCCGGAGGCCCTCCAGAGGCTGGAAATAGCCCGTTTGCTGACTTCCGGTCCATTTCTGGCCTTCGGAGGGCCTCCGGTGGAGGGGGCGGGAAAGGCCGTTGCTGTTTCCAGCCTCCAAAGGGCCTCAGGGGGCCGGGAAGGCTGTTTTCACCCTCCCCAGGCTCCTAGAAAGCCTCTGGAGCCTGGGGAGAGCGAAAAGCGCCCTTCCCCACCCCCCCGGAGGCCCTCTGGAGGCCAGAGACAGCCTGTTTCCTGACTTCCGGTAGGCCTGGAGCTGGAGCTGAACTAGGGCAACGCTCGCGTGCCCACCGATATGGCTCTGCGTGCCACCTGTGGCACGCGTGCCATAGGTTCGCCATGATGGTCCTACACTATCATATTGCAGAGAAGAAAGGAATGTCTGTCAAGAGCAGAAATTAGTTTTCTGCACAAGACTGTCTCCCTTTCTTTCAATCAGCTGCTCCAAAATAATTGGTCGAGACCAGGAGCCAATAAATATGGCAACTTTATGACTGGTGGACTTCAACTCCCAGAGTTCTATCGGAAGCATACAAAATTATAAAAGCGTAATAATAAATAACTGTATCTAAATCAGTATCGTAAGTATGGCTAGCTCAGGAATTTTGGGAGATGATGTCCACCGGTCATCAAGTTGCCATACAGAATAACAGAGTTGGAAGGAACCTTGGAGTCTAACCCCCTGTTCAAGCAATGATGCCCTTGACGTGATGTCCCGGTGCCTGGAGGCCGTGAAGCTCTGGATGGGGAGAAACAAGCTCAGACTCAACCCTTCCAAGACTGAGTGGCTGTGGTTTCTGGCGTCCCGATATAGCCAGCTGTTGCCATCGCTGGCTATTGGGGGCGAGTTATTGGCCCCCACGGATAGGGCTCGCAACTTGGGCGTCCTCCTGGATGCACGGCTGTCTTTAGAAGAGCATATGATGGCCGTGGCCAGGGGGGCTTTTTATCAGGTTCGCCTGATTCGCCAGTTGCGTCCCTTTCTGGATCGGGATTCCTTACGCACAGTCACTCAGGCACTCGTCACTTCCTGCCTGGACTACTGCAATGCTCTCTACATGGGGCTCCCCTTGAGGAGTACCCGGAGGCTCCAACTGGTGCAGAATGCGGCCGCGCGGAGGATTATGGGAGCGAGGGGTCGCTCCCATGTGACACCTCTCCTGCGTGAGCTGCATTGGCTTCCAGTGATCTTCCGGGTGTGCTTCAAGGTGTTGGTCACCACCTTTAAAGCGCTCCATGGCATAGGACCTGGGTATTTGCGGGACCGCCTTCTGCCGCCGATAGCCTCCCACCGACCAGTACGCTCCCACAGAGAGGGACTCCTCAGGGTGCCGTCGGCCAGGCAATGTCGGCTGGCGACCCCCAGGGGGAGGGCCTTCTCTGTGGCAGCTCCCGCCCTCTGGAACGATTTGCCCCCGGAGATAAGAAGGATATCGGATCTCCGGGTCTTTCGCCCTGCCCTGAAAACTTTTCTTTTCCAGCAAGCAGGGCTGGCGTGAACCCCGCCCCCTTTTTTAGTTTTTAATTGTTATTAATTGTTTAGTTTTAATCTGTTAATGGGTTTTAATTCGCATTGTTTTATTTTGGGCCAAAGTATATAATTCTTTTAATTAATTTTAAATTTTGTATTGTTATGTATTTTAGTTCTGGCTGTGCACCGCCCTGAGTCCACTAGGAGAAGGGCGGTATATAAATTGAATAAATAAATAAATAAATAAATAAATTGTTTTTAAATTTTGTGAGTATATGTTTGTTTTAATATGGCTGTACACTGCCCTGAGTCCTTTCGGAGAAGGGCGGTATAGAAGTTTAATAAATACGAATACAAATACAAAGCAGGAGACCCCATGGCATTTCAGACATATGGCTGTCCAATCTCTTCTTAAAAGCCTCGTGTGTTGGAGCATTCACAACTTCTGGAGGCAAATTGTTCCACTGATTAATTGTTCTCACTGTTAGGAAATTTCTCCTTAGTTCTAGGTTGCTTCTCTCCTTGATTAGTTTCCACCCATTGCTTCTTGTCCTGCCTTTCGGTGCTTTTGACTACCCCTGGTCTAGATAATACGTTCAGACAGATGCTTGAATTCCATGGCTGAAAGTCAAAAGCTAAAAGAACAAGTTGCCTTAGACTAGCTTTATGACGGGGAATTATATCAGCACTAACCTGGTTTGCAGGGAAATGTTGGATGAAACTGCTGGACGTCTGTGTGGTGACTCCGCCCACTGGTGCCGCCATGCTGATCCCCACCACTGTTGGTCCTATATTAAGAGGCATGGAAACCGGTGGCCCAGGAGGCATCAAAGGCTGTTGGCTCACTGTGACAGGGATGGCCATCTGAAGCCCACTTAAGGTAGGGATGGGAGCAGAAGGAAACTGGTTTAAACCGTCAGGGCTCATGGCTGGCATGCCTCTCTGTATGAGGGGGGGAAAATGCAGAAAACAGAGCGTTTGCACAACCAAGTCAATTAAAGCATTTGCACACCTTATACAACTTAATTGGTGCTAGCTTTAGTCTTGCTTAATTATTATTTATTTATTTATTTTTATTTTATTTGATTTATATGCCGCCCTTCTCCGGAGACTCAGGGCGGCTTACAATGCGTTAAGCAATAGCCTTCATACTTTTGTATATTCATACAAAGTCAGCTTATTGCCCCCACAAACTGGGTCCTCATTTAACCTACCTTAGAAAGGATGGAAGGCTGAGTCAACCTTGAGCCTGGTAAGATTCGAACCTGCAGTAATTGCAGGCAGCTGTGTTAATAACAGGGTGCTTTAGACCACTGTGCTACCAAGGCTCAATTATTTGCAGGTAACACTGCCCCTCGATAGACAAGCCATTAAGGACATGTCCCGTCCAGTGGTGGGTTTCAAAATTTTTTACTACCGGTTCTGTGGCCGTGGCTTGGTGGGCGTGGCATGGCTTGGTGGATGTGGCTTGGTGGGTGTGGCATGGGAAGGATACTGTAAAATCTCCATTCCCTCCCCAATCCACAGGAAGGTTACTGCAAAATTCCCATTTCCTCCTGATCAGCTGAGATTTAGGAGGCAGAGAATAGATGGGGGTGGGGCCAGTCAGAATTTTTACTACCGGTTCTCCGAACTACTCAAAATTTCCGCTACCGGTTCTCCACAACTGGTCAGAACCTGCTGAAACCCACCTCTGGTCCCGTCCCGTCCCCAGTTTTATCTCTGATCCCGATTCCTACCTGAGTGAGCGCAATCATAGCCAAAACGGTGTAGAGTTCTTCTTTTGTCAGCTTCCCTGGAGTGGTGCGATTGGCTAAGGCCCAAATTTGCCCAAGAGTTTCTCTGGGAAGCCCAGAGGACATCAGAATCGGATAGAGTTTGCCGGTATCTATCCCGGAGGATGTCATGGTGGTTTCGAGAATCTTCTTATAAAGATCTGGGAAGGAAAGAATTTGGTCCAAGAGATTAAATATGTTCTGACCTAGGCTTCACAAAAGCACAACAAAACCCCTTTTTATTAAGCTAATGTGAATGCCTCTCATTCACCTCCAGCAAAGTCCCAGCAAAAAGTCTTTCAAGGGTGAATTTACAACCACAGACCTTATCAGGCTTGGAGAGCTGCCAGGCCGATATCTTCCAAACGCAATGCTGTACAAGAAAAGACTGATCTTCACACTAATTTGTCTCCTGCAAACTCCACTCCCCTTTCGCTCCTCTTTATTCCCTATGGGAGGGGCCATTCACCATCCACCTGTGCCTTTACTCCTGAGTCGGCCCTTGTTCCTTAGCTGTTCCCTTCTCCTGGCAGCTCTGCGCATGCGCACATCAAGAACAGGCTCCAGCTGTTCTTCAGCCCCACTGATATCCGACTCTGAAGGTAGCTGGGCCCTGGCCCCATCTCTGCCTCCGATACAGAGCACTCATCAGAGTCCTCCCCAGACTCCAGGACTGGCCCATGTTCCTCCCCAATCTCCTCACTGGCCGCTGGCGGGCCACAACAAAATACAGCAAACTCAAGCAAATCCAAAAGGTTGGGCCTTTTCTGCTCTCAAACATTAACCTGAATTGATTTAATTAATTTATATCCCGCCTTTACTATTTTTATAAACAACTCCAGGCGGAAAACATATCTAATGCTCCTTCTTCCTCCTATTTTCCCCACGACAACAACCCTGTGAGGTGAGTTGGGCTGAGAAAGAGTGATTGGCCCAAAGTCACCCAGCTGCCTTTCGTAGCTAAGGCAGGGTTTGAGATCATGCCTTAACTCTTAGGCTGGTGGCCCCCAACCATTTGGGCACCAGGGACCGGTTCCGTGGAGAGAGATTTTTCCACGGGCCGGAGGGGACGTGGTGTCGTGTGCTTCCTGCATCCAACAGATGGGTCTTCCCTTGTTTGCGTGGCCCAGTTTCTGGAATGCTGCGGACCGTTGCCGGTCCATGGACCAGAGGTTGGGGACCCCTGCCTTAGACGAAACTGGCAAAGATGATAAATTCAGTCATCAAAACTGAACTGCTCCAAAGAGATCACTTTCCTTAAATGTATCAGATTTTGCAGTAGAAATTAAATCCAGAAAGCACACACAGGTAAACTGATTCAGCAGGATTCATTAACTTCTTTATATACATATAATACATGAAGATAAATGTACAATACCAATATAGATTCTTCTTCAACATAGTAGCAGTTACAAGCAAAACACAAGGCAGGAGAGAAGAGTTAGTTTCATTTCAGCAGAGCAGACTAGTTTCTGTTTCTCTGCACAGACTCAGAAGCTGCAGACTAAGACATGCCCTGGCTCCAGTCTGTCTCAGCTCCCAAACAGCCCTCATTGGCTGACTTAGTTGCTATGCCTATACATTGGCTGACCTTGTTACCATGTCCTATTCCAGTTGATGAATATACTCTGACAAAATGTGGAAGGAATTTGCCTTTTACTAAGTTTCACTAACTGCTTCTGAAAGGATAGCTGCGATTGTATTTGTGTGTGTGCGTGTGCAATGCACGTGCATACATGTGTGTGCACCTTCAAGTCAGTTTTAACTCCTATAACTGTCTGGAAAAGTCCCTGCAGTGTTCTTGGCAAGGTTTTTCAGGAGTAATTTGCCATTGTCATCTTCCTAGGGCTAAGAGAAAGTGACTGGCCTAAGGTCACCCAGCTGGCTTTGAGTCTAAAACAGTACTAGAACTCAGAGTTTCCTGGTTCGTACCCTGATGCCTTAACCAGTTTGGCTTTTTTTTAAAATCCTTGTTAATAACATCCTTGACAACAGGATCCAAATTAAAATTCATTTGTTGTCTGATCAAAATAGCACGGTACATGCATGGTGGAGCAGCGGACTAAAGCGCTGTTAAAGTAGCATTTAGCTGCCAGCTGCCTGCAATTACTGCGAGTTCAAATCTCACCAGGCTCAAGGTTGACTCAGCCTTCCATCCTTCCGAGGTAGGTAAAATGAGGACCCGAATTGTGGGGGCAATAAGCTGACTTTGTATAAAAAAGAACACCGCTTAGGAGGGGCCGAAAGCCCTACTAAGCAGGTATATACAAAAGTATGAAAGCTATTGCTTAACGCATTGTAAGCCACCCTGAGTCTCCGGAGAAGGGCGGCATATAAATCAAACCAATGAATGAATGAATGAATAAATAAATAAATAAATAAATAAATAAATAAATAAATAAATAAATAAATAAATAAATAAAGTGTAAACAACAAGAGGAAAATGAACTGATAATAGCAATAGCACTTATATACTGCTTCACAATGTTTACAGCCCTCTCTAAGCGGTTTACAGAGTCAACATCTTGCCCCCAACAATCTGGGTCCTCATTTTACCCACCTCGGAAGGATGGAAGGCTGAGTCAACCTTGAGCCTGGTGAGATTCGATCTGCCAAATTGCAGTCAGCCGGCAGTCAGCAGAAGTAGCCTGCAGTACTGCACTCTAACCACTGCGCCACCAGGGCTCATAACAACACGAGAATGACATTTCCTGCCTGAATACAGTATTCATCCTCAATCATTTTATTAATTATTACCTGGAATTAAATTATCATTGTAAATCCACGGAGGCATCATTTGCTGGATTGGATCCTGGGAAGGAAAAACTCCAACGCCTAAAGACACAGACACACACAAAAAGACAGACCTTTAGAAAATAGCTAAAACAAATGACTCCGTTGGGACACGTCTATCAAGAGTAGTTCAAAGGAAGGGATCAGCTCTCCGAAGGTGGTTAAAGAAATAGAAAGTGATTGGGTCAAGAAAAAGGAGCATTCTTGTAAATGTGCTTTTAAATAGGATTGGAAACTGAGATATATTTAGGTTAGCAGCCTAAGCGTAACCAAAGACAGCAAGAGGGCACACAAACAACACAAACTCTGCAGGTGTTAATGGTGTGGGTGAAAAAGTCATCAGAATGGATACACAATGAATAACTCGCACAACTGTTGTATGCCGTCCAGAGCCACACTCTTGTAAAGTGGGCCGTCATATAAATATGATAAATGAAAATAAAAGATGCAGTCAGGTGATTGCACAGCAGGTGGTTAAGCCTGTTGCTCAACTGCTGCTAATGCTAACCAGCAGCATGAAGGTCTTGTCTATTCTTAGGTTTTTCTTTTTAATATTAAAACGGAGCAGCCCTTTAAGCAGAGGACAGATGGGAAGTTGGCAACTTTAGATTATTAAAGGGAAGGGAGAGAGGGAGAGAGGAAAAGATAGAGGGAAGGGAGGGAGGGAGGGAAGGAAGATAGGAAGGAAGGGAGGAGAGAGAGGGAGGGAGGGGAGGACGAAGGAAGATAGGGAGGGAGGGAGGGAGGGGGAGGAGGAAGGAAGGAAGGAAGGAAGGAAGGAAAAGATAGGAGGGAGGGAGGGAGGGAGGAAGGAAGGAAGGAAGGAAAAGATAGGAGGGAGGGAAGGGAGGAAGATAGGAAGGAAGGAAGATAGGAAGGAAGGGAGGGAGGGAGGGAGGAAGAGAGGGGAGGGAGGGAGGGAGGGAGGAGGGAGGAAGATAGGAGGAAGGAGGAAGGAAGGAGGGGACGAAGATAGGAAGGAAGGGGAGGGAGGGAGGAAGGAAGGAAGATAGGAAGGAAGGGAGGAAGGAAGGAAGATAGGAAGGAAGGGAGGGAGGGAGGAAGATAGGAAGGAAGGGGAAGATGGGAAGGGAGGGAGGAGGAAGGGAGGGAGACAGGGAGGGAGGGAGGGAGGAAAAGATAGGATATAGGGGGGAGGGAGGAGAGGGAAGGAGGAAGGAAGGAAGGACAGAGGGAGGGAGAGAGGGAGGAAGGAAAAGAAAAGAAGGGAGATTTTATGCACCACTGGAGAGCCTAATCCCGGTTAATAGCACTGGGTGATCTTTCTAACTTGGGTATTTTGTGACTTCTATGCATAAATTACTTCCTACAAGATGGTCTTCACTTTCCTCAACTATAACACCTACTTCCTTCAAGCATGCATCCCTGTTAGGTCCTCTCTACCAAACTGTGAAGTTGGGCCAGCAAAAAGCTGGAGGGCTGGAATTTCTGGGAGTTGTAGTCCTAGCACGTCGGTAAAGTGGCAAGTTGGAGAAAGTCGTTTTTAGAGCAAATGAGGGCCGATACTCCTTGGACAAGTGAATGGCAGCAAAGAGGAGGACGAGAAGGAGGAGATGGGGAAACAGACAAGGAGGAGAAGGAAAAGAAGAGGGGGAGGGGGAGGAGGAGGAGAAGAGAAAGAGGAGGAGATGGGGAGACAGAGAAGGAAAAGAAGATGAGGAGGAGGAAGAGATGGGGAGACAAAGAAGGAGGAGGAGGAAAAGAAGAGGAGGAAGGAGGAGAAGGAGAAGAAGAAGAGGAAGAGATGGGGAGACAGAGAAGGAAAAGAAGATGATGAGGAGGAAGAGATGGGGAGACAAAGAAGGAGGAGGAGGAAAAGAAGAGGGGAGGAAGGAGGGAGGAGAAGGAGAAGAAGAGGAAGAGATGGGGAGACAGAGAAGGAAAAGAAGAGGAGGAAGAGGAAGAGCAGGAGAAGGAGGAGGAGGAGGAGGAGGAAGAGGAAGAGCAGGAGGAGGAGAGAAGGAATAATGTTTTGCTTGGAAAAGAGAACAGGCTCAAAACATATGCCAAGAGCTGGTTAAGGGCCAACGCCATATTATGTGGTAAGTTAGGATTAAAAGGTGCTTCATTGTTATGATTCAAGCAGGGATTCAGAGCAAAATTACCCAGCAGTCACCTTAAGAGGTTAGAACAGTGAAGGGAGAAGGATCCACCTGGGCTGAAAACAACAGATTGGCTCACCGCACTCTTGAACTGGTAGCTTTGGTTCTGAAGCCTTGTTTGCCTCTGGACAGGGGGCTCCCTTGGGAAGGGCCCCTAGGGACTTCCTGCCACTGGCTGCTAACTGGGGACCAGGGCTGTTTACAGCTGAAGCGGCAGCGCTGAGCTCAACCTCAGGCGCCTTCAGCTTGATTTGAGTCTGCCCAAATTCACTCAACCCGCGAGGTGCCAAAGGCTTGTCTTCTAAGAAACAGCCTGGGTGAATAAAAGGAGGAATTAGACACACTTTGCTAAATTGCACTTCCCTTTAGAGCTTTAGCCCATTCCTTAATCCCACAGGCGAAAAGGGGAAACACAAACGCGCCCACAGCCCCACCAAGGAGGGCTGGAGTGACTCAGTAACTATTTTCAAAGAGGACGATAGTCACTGGGTCACCTCAGTCCTTTATTTAAAGATAATGCATCACAAAAGATGCTGCCAATACAGATAGTCCTCGATTTAGGACCCTGACGGAGCCTGCTGATCATGAATGGAAGTCGTGACGGTCATAAAGTGAAATCAATTTTACGGTGCAAAAGTTGACGGAGCCTTTTGTGTTTTGAGGTGGGGGGTGGGGTGGGGAAATGCAACTTTGATTTTGGGTTTTTACCGATTAGATAGGTTTGTTGTTATAGAAATCAGTGGTGAAATCCTACCGGTTTGCACCGGTTCGGGCAAACCGGTTGTTCTAAAAGCTACCGGTTCAGCAAACCGGTAGTAGAAAAAAGCTACTGGTTGGTCTGAACTGGTATTTCCGACAATCAGCTGTGCCGTATGATTTATATTCGCTACAAAGCAGGAAATCCTGCTTTCTGGAGAATATAAATAGTGCGGCACAGCTGTTCCCCCCTTGCTGTTCTACTTACCGTATTTTTCGGAGTATAAGATGCACCTTTTTCCCCCCTAAAAGAGGCTGAAAATTTGGGTGCATCTTATACTCTGAATGTAGCTTTTTTGAAGCTTTTTTTCAGCCCTAATGAGGCGCTAACAAGGTGCTAGCGAGTGAAGCGATCTTCCCAGCTTTGCCTGCTCCCTCGACTCCGCTGTGCTTCAACGAGGAACTAGCGAGTGAAGCCATCTCCATACTTCGCTCCAACTCTCAGCTGTTCTTTAGAAGCTTTTTTCCAGCCCTAACTAGGCGCTAGCTGAGTGAAGTGATCTCCCCGTGCTTTGCCTGCTTTTCTCATTGCTGCTTCCTCTCAGCTGTGCCTTAGAAGCTGTTTTTTATCCCCAAGCAGGGGATAAAAAACCAGCAAACTAATGTGCTGAAGCTGACCAGACTAAGGACGCTAGCCAGATGAATACCTGGTTGGCAGATTTTTTTTTCCTATTTTCCTCCCCAAAAACTAAGCTGCGTCTTATACTCCGGTGCGTCTTATACTCCGGTGCGTCTTATACTCTGAAAAATACGGTACCTTAGAAAGCGTCCTTTTTCCGTGCGAAGTGCGTGTTTCGTGCACACTGTGCATATGCACACACCGCATGCATTTGGCACGCACCGCGTCTACGTGGGCAGCAAACCGATGGCAAACCGCGGAGGATTTCACCACTGATAGAAATGGCTAGTTTATACTACTATGTAAAAGTAAAAAGTGTTTCTTTCTTTTTTCTCTTTGCCCTGCTCTTTTCCCTTCCCTTCTCCCTCCCTTATTTTCCTACTGTTTTGTATTTTTGTATTGTATATTATAAACAAATAAAACAATAAATAAAGTGAAGCCAATTTTACGACATTTTTGGCACCGGTCGTTAAGTGAACTGCTATGAGCCCGTCCTGCCAAAAACTGGAGGTAAATGCTGGTTTTCGACAAAAATGTCATAAAATAGGACGCTGCAAACAGTGTCAATGCAGGCTGGTTGCTGAGTGTCCAATATGTTGTCATGTTGGAACTCTGGAACTGGGTCACAGGTGCCCACAGGAAGGTTTATTTTAACCGTTGAATGGTTGCTACTAGTTGAGGACTATCTGTACTAAGCATACCCAGAATTCAGCAGGACAAGAAAAGGGACAAGAGATGCATTACCCTTAAAAAAAAATATTAAGAGAATTTTTTTACATTCTAAAGGTAAAGGACTGTAACTGAGAATAATAATAATCCAACCCCTCCATTATGCAAAACTGTCCTGGTTGTTTTTAAATCTACCAGAATGCTTTAAATTGTAAATTGTTAAATTGTAAATGTAAATTAAATCTAAACTACTAGAATAATTTAAATTATAAGAAGGCCTGGGGGGGACCCAGGGAAGCGGAGACACGTGGCTTCATTGAGGTATTTATTTATTAGATTTTTAGTAGATATAATCATTCTCTTTGCTTCAGGGTTCGCATATTTTTGTTCCTAATAATATTTAATTTTTAACATTGATTTTTTAAAAGACTTTTATGATTGGTTTAATATATGTGTCATTTTGTCTGATGGTTGTCTACTGCCCAGAGTTGCTTTTCATAAGATGGGCAGCCATGCAAATTTGATAAATAAAATAATAAAATGTATTTTATTTTATTTATAAAATGTATTGGCCGCTTATCTTACCACAGAGTTTAATAGAAAAAAATAAGATAAAATAGAATAAAATAGAATAAAATAGAATAAAATAAAATAAAATAAAATAAAATAAAATAATAAAACAAAACAAAACAAAACAAAACAAAACAAAACAAAACAAAACAAAACAAAACAAAATAAACTTTCTGGCTTTTCTGATTTGAAAATGCTAAAGTTTCTTTCTTTACTCGCTATCTGGTCTGAAGTCTGTCAAATGCCTTGATATATATATGTCAAGGTGATATAAATGCCTTGATACATACATACATACATACATACATACATACATACATACATACATACATACATACATACATACCAGGGGTGCTATTTAGCAGGTCCTGACAGGTTCTGGAGAACCGATAGTGGAAAGTTTGAGTAGCTCGAAGAACCGGCAAATACCACCTCTGGCTGGCTCCAGAGTGGGGTGGGAATGGAGATTTTGCAATATCCTTCCCCCAGGAGTGGGGAGGGAATGGGGATTTTGCAGTATCCTTCCCCTGGAGTGGGGTGGGAATGGGGATTTTGTTTATGTTTATGTTTATGTTTTATTAAATTTGTATACCGCCCTTCTCCCGAAGGACTCAGGGCGGTGAACAGCCAAAATTAAAATACATACAGTAGAAAAATTAAAATAAATTAAAACAGAATTAAATCAGTTTGGCTTCCTTAAATTTTTTAAAACCCTTTACCCATAAAATAACCCATTAAAATTTTAAGCCAGGCCGGCTTGCTGGAATAAGAAGGTCTTCAACGCTCAGCGGAAAGTACAGAGGTCCGGGATCAGTCGTATTCCTGGGGGTAGCTCATTCCAGAGGGTGGGTGCCCCCATAGAGAAGGCTCTCCCCCTGGGGGTCGTCAGTCGACATTGCCTGACCGACAGCACCCTGAGGAGACCCTCTCTGCGGGAGCGGACTGGCCGGTGGGAGGTTATCGGTGGCAGAAGGTGGTCTCGTAAGTATCCGGGCCTTAAGCCATGGAGTGCTTTAAAGATGAGAACCAATACCTTGAAGCGCACCCGGAAGACCACCGGGAACCAGTGCAGCTCGCGCAGGAGAGGTGTTACATGGGAGTGCCATGTCGCCCCCATAATTACCCACGCGGATGCATTCTGGACCAGCTGGAGCCTCCAGATGCTCCTCAAGGGGAGCCCCATGTAGAGAGCATTGCAGTAGTCCAGGCGAGAGGTGACGAGGGCGCGAGTGACCGTGCATAAGGAGTCCTGATCCAGAAAGGGACGCAACTGGCGTATCAGGCGAACTGATAAAAAGCCCCCCTGGCCACGGCCCTCATATGCTCTTCTAAAGACAGCCATGCATCCAGGAGGACACCCAAGTTACGAGCCCTCTCCGTGGGGGCCAATGACTCGCCCCCAATAGCCAGCGATGGCACCAGCTGGCTATATCGCGACGCCGGCAGCCACAGCCACTCGTCTTGGAGTTTTGGAGTATCCTTCCCCTGGAGTGGGGAGGGAATGGGGATTTTGCAGTATCCTTCCCCTGGAGTGGGGTGGGAATGGGGATTTTGCAGTATCTTTCCCCTAGGAGTGGGGAGGGAATGGGGATTTTCCTGGAGTGGGGCGGGAATGGGGATTTTGCAGTATCCTTCCCCTGGAGTGGGGAGGGAATGGGGATTTTGCAGTATCCTTCCCCTGGAGTGGGGCGGGAATGGAGATTTTGCAGTATCCTTCCCCTGGAGTGGGGTGGGAATGGAGATTTTGTAGTATCCTTCCCCTGGAGTGGGGTGGGAATGGAGATTTTGCAATATCCTTCCCCTGGAGTGGGGAGGGAATTGAGATTTTGCAGTATCCTTCCCCTGGAGTGGGGCAGGAATGGAGATTTTGCAGTATCCTTTCCCTGGAGTGGGGTGGGAATGGAGATTTTGCAATATCCTACCCCCAGGAGTGGGGAGGGAATGGAGATTTTGCAGTATCCTTCCCCTGGAGTGGGGTGGGAATGGAGATTTTGCAGTATCCTTCCCCTGCCACACCATGCCCACCAAGCCACGCCCACAGTACCGGCAGTTAAAAAATTTTTTTACATTTTTGCAAAATAGTTTTTAACTTACGGCCACAATTGGGATGAGAATTCCTTTGTATTTTATACATTGATAAAACAATAAAAGTTATAGAGTCAAAGAATTTCCATTACTAAGTAAGGTGGTTAAGTGAGTGGCACCTGATTTTATGATTTTTTTTGCTTTGTTAAGTGAATCACACAATCGATCAACTCCATCTTCCCCCCCATTGATTTTGCTTATGGCAAACAGGCTGGAAGTTCACAAAAGGAGATCACATCACCTCCACGGGACACGGTAACCATCATAAATATGAACCAGTTGCCAGGCGTCCAGATTTTGATCATGTGACCATGGGGATGCTGCAATGGTCGTTAAGTGTGAAAACTGGTCATTAGTCACTTTTCCCTCCCAGTGTTGTCGTTAACTTCAAATGGTCATTAAACGAATGGGTTGTAAGTCGAGGACTACCTGTATATTTCATTCCCCGAAAGACATGGTGTGTTACCTGTTTTCTGACTGTTTTGTGAAGCTGGAGAAGGAGAGAAATAGGGTACCGGTCCCACGGTACCCTGGAAGACGGAGGTGACAGGAAACTGGACTGGAGGGAGAGGGTGGGCCGCAGCCTTCTCTGAAAGCCGCTGCCCAGGATGGCAAGACTGAAAAGGCTGGGAGGAGGTTGGAGGCACGAATGGTGGGGTTTCGACAGGTCCCTGAATAAAGTCACTAAACTCCTCGTCGTCAAGAAAGGCAGTAGTTTGGGAGACAGACACGGTAGAATGAGATGGTTTGGGATGATCTGTGAAATGGAATGAACACAAACATGTACATACACACGAGATGAAAACCCTTGGAGAACAACGAACCTAAAAAAAATAAAAAAAAATAAAAGAGAAGTGCCCATTTCTAGGACCTATCCTGTTTCCCCCAAAATAAGACATCCCCTGATAATAATAGAGGATTCCGGATCTGCGCACTTTCCGCCGTGCCCTCAAAACATTCCTGTTTCAGCAGGCCGGCCTGGCCTAACTTTCCCTTTATATTGCTTTTGATTTTATTTTAAACTGGGATGTCTTGAATTATCTAGGACCAGAGTGTTTAGTATATTTTAATTGGCTTTTTTAACGTTTGTATTACATGTATTTTTATCGTTCGCTGTTCACCGCCCTGAGTCCCTCAGGAATAGGGCGGTATATAAATTTAATAAATAAATAAATAAATAAATAAAAATAAGCCCAATCGGGCTTTTGAGCGCATGGCAATAAGGCCAAGCGCTTATTTCAGGGTTCAAAAAAATATAAGACAGGGCCTTATTTTCGGGGAAACACAGTAAAAGGTGAGACCTGGGCATTTTACAGCCCCTGGGCCACATCTTCTCATCTAAGAAGCTTCTTCAGCTCTGACCGGATGGCGGGGAATGGAAGGATTCCAGTCAGAGCTGAAGAAGCTTCTTGGATGAGAAGCGAAATGTCTTCAAAGAAAAACCAGAAAGTCCAGCTGCCTCTTGAAAAAAGCACCTTTGGGACCAACCATGACTTGGAGATGGAGAATCTCCACAGACTTTCAGTCAATACTGGAACCCACAGGAGGGTTAGGAGAGAGAAAGCCCTTTTCTGAGCCTGCACAGTGCTCGACGGTCTGTAATGAGACAACTCGCCATAAGGACAATTGGCCACCAAACAATTCAACAAATCCAAAAGTTACATTAATTTCAACTGAACCGTAGCCAATAATAATAAACGGAAGAAAGTCAATTCAGAAATACAAGAGTTACAATCATTTCAATGAAAACCTGGTCACCAATAATAAAAGTCCCCGAATGAAATGTTTAATACAGCATTGAATTGTTGCGCAGCGACTTGGCCATGACGAGTTGGTCGCGGCGACTTGTCCTAGACCCCGCCTCTCGCCTGACGCAGTCTGAAGAGGCGGCTGCAATCACTGGGTGAGGAGACCAGGCTCAGCCCCTCACTCTTGCCTCGGTTGAACCACAGACTTGTGGGTGAGTGTAGCCAGGATATCTTGGTTCAGCCCTCCACAACAATCCCAGTTCCTCATATGGCCCTTTGGGGAAATTAATTGCCCACCCCTGTAAAGGTAAAAGTTTCCCCTGTCCAGTGGTAACTGACTCTAGGGGGCGGTGCTCATTTCAGTTTCTTAGCTGAGGGAGCCAACATTGTCTGAAGACCCTTTCGTGGTCATGTGGCCAGCATGATGATATGCTGAAGCACATGGAACGCTGTTATCTTCCCATCCAAGTGGTACCTATTTATCTACTCACATTTGCATGCTTTCCAACCAGGGGTGGGATTCAGCCAGTTCGGACCTGTTCGGGCGAATCGGATGTTACTTTTAATCTGGTTCGCTGAACCGGTAGTTGCAAGAACTGGCTGACCCCGCCCACCTCACCCCTCCCAGGAGTCTCCACGCAGCCCGTTTTGGATGCCAGGTAAATGCAGGGCCTGCATGGAGGCTCTGGGAGGGTGAAAAATGGGCCTACCAGAAGTACCGGAAGTCTGGAAACAGGCCTCGAGGAAAGCCTCCGGAGCCTGGGGAGGGCGAAAACGCCCCCCACCACCACCGTGCTGCAGGAAGCTGACTAGGCCACACCCCCATGGCCACGCCTACCCAGCAACCGGGCAGAGAACCGGTTGCTAAAATTTTTCAATCCCACCACTGTTTCCAACTGCTAGGTGGGCAAGAGCTGGGGGCAAGTAACAAGAGCTCACCCCATTGAGAGGTGCTCAGGTCTCGAACTGGGGCTACCAACTGACAAGCTCAGCTTCTTTAACCACTAAGCCGTCACACCCCAATACAAGATGGTGTTAAGGAGGGAACGGTGCACACCGGTAATGCAAAAATCCCACCATTTTATGCTATTACTTGCCCTGCCGAAGAGATAAGCGGCTTCTGAACTTCACATTGTAGAGGGGAAAAAAATACCTTGCTTTTCCAGCAAGAAGTGAAAGGGAGAAGGAGCTGCTTCCTCTCTACGGTCCCCATTCATGCTTTTTTACAAGCATTAAAATCACTCAGAAAAGCCTTGATTCAAATGGGGCTATTTAAAATGTTGGGTAGAACACAGAGGACTAGATGGCACATTCACGACTGAGCTCCCTGCTAGAGAGAAAAATGGGCCCACTTCCTTTAGAAAGGTGAGAATTTACCCCGAAGGATCCCAGCTGCTACATGCTAAATTGGCTTTCACTGATGCACAGGTAATAAACATCTTCATTTTCCTACGCCTGCTTTATTTTTACATGCATTTTATTTTCTTGAGGACATTAGCAGTATGGTGGGCTCGTGGTGAAGACACTCGTCTCCAACTCAGAAGGCTGAGAATTCAATTCTAAGTAGCAGCAGATGTTTCTCTCTCAAAGAGAAAATATCTGCTGTGAACTGCAAGTAGGCAACAGGAAGGGCATCCAGCCAGCAAACTCTCAGCTCCAGGCAGTTGCCCCAACTACAGGGTTGTAAAAAGAAACAAAAATCTTGAGGACATTAGATTTTAATAGCCACAACCATTAATTCGATGCTCTTAAAAGACGAGAATCTGCAACTGCAACTTATACGGATGCAGCTCAAGATTTTTGAAAAGGCTGCTAGTTTTCAAAGTGCATTACATGCTCAATCAACTGAACATAATTTGGCTATAATTTAATAGGGCTGGAATCCTAATCCAATTAGAATTAAGCACATTAAAGTCCTACTGTTCATGACCCAAAAAGGTGTTAGATTTCTTTTTTTCACTGAAAGCAATAGAATTGATAAATGCTTCTGTTTGGCAGGTTTCTCTAAAGGTTTCTGTGCACCTTAAAGCTGCATACATTTTTTATAAAAATTTTAAGATCTTGTCTCCAAGTTGAATACCTGCATTTTTGGGATGAGCAGTTGGTGTGGGATGAAGTTTAGCATCTCTGGAAAACCCGTCTAGGTTCCCTTTAATAGCTTCCAGGGCGTCATCTCGGCTTTTTTCACCCATCTGAAAACATATCGATACACCTTATTATGAAACAGCTCTAACAGAATGTTCAACTATTTTACAAAACCTGAGTGCATTTATCACTTGCCAAAAACAAAGTACACTTATTTTCTCAGGGTGGAATTCCTCAAGGAAAAATCAGACGAGCAAAACCCATTTTATGTCAAAGTAGCTTATCATTTTATATTCCGGTAAACAGGTAGTCCCTGACTTATCGCCACAATTCGGATCAAAATTTCCATTGCAAGAGCGATAGCAATAGCGCTTAGACTTATATACCGCTTCACAGTGCTTTTACAGCCCTCTCCAAGCAGTTTACAAAGTCAGCCTCTTGCCCCCAACAATCTGGGTCCTCATTTTACCAACCACGGAAGGATGGAAGGCTGAGTCAACCTTGAACTGGTCAGGATCGAACTGCTGGCAGTTGCCAGAGTTAGCCTACAATAGCAATAGCGCTGTCAGGTTTTCAGGCCATCTTCAAATAAATTGCATCTCAAACAAAGTCCTTTTTGAAACAAACTTCCATTTTATTTAGCATGGCAACTTTTACACTGACTCCATGCAGCCAGCACTGATGTGCTGGCCCAAAATCCCTCCTCTTCCTTCCCCCACTCCTCTGCATTCATTGGCCATCTTCCCAATCATTCACCCCTAATCTACTGCTCCAATTCAAAGAATTTCCCCCCTCCCATCCATCTCCTAGGGGACATTATCTCCAGCTAAAATAAGTAGGTGAAAGGCAACCGTCCCATTGCAGACACTTGCGTTCTCCTTCTCATGTCAGCACTAGGATAAATGCATCTTGATGTGCTGACAAGCGCTTAGACTTATATACCGCTTTACAGTGCTTTACAGTCCTCTCTAAGCGGTTTACAAAGTCAGCATATTGCCCCCAACAATCTGGGTCCACTGACCACGGAAGGATGGAAGGCTGAATCAACCTTGAACTGGCCAGGATCGAACTTGCAATACTGCATTCTAACCTCTGCACCACCACGGCTCAGTTGTTAAGTGAGTCACACCCAATATTACAAGATTTTTGCCAATCAAGCTAATCATTGCCGTTGTTAAGTGAATCATGTGGACGTTAAGGCTTCCCCGATTGGCTTTGCTCATTGTGAGCCAGCTGGGAAAGTTGAAAATGGGAATCACATGATTCCCCCAAACGATGCAACTGTTTTAAATACATGCTGGTTGCCAAGCGCCTGAATTCTGATGACAAGACCGTGGGGAATGCTGTGATGGTCGTAAGTGCGAGGCCCGATTGTAAGTAACTTAGTTCCAGTGCTGTTTTAACTTCAAATAGTTGCTAAATGAATGGCTATAAATCAAAGACTATCCCATACTGTTTTGTTGAAACACTGGTATTTGTTTTTTTAAAAAATTCTATTTATTGTTTTAATTTCCCTCCTCAACAGAAATTAATTTAAATCCAGCTGGCTTGCCAATGAATAAATTTGTCACCGCATACCTTTGGCTTCACGCTGCTTAAAAGCCGTAGCTTTTGCTTCTGTTCTTCAAACTGACGCCTTTTTCTTTCTTCCTCCAAGACCTTCTGCTGGTGTTCAAACCGTTTCCTGCAAGATGTAATCAATGCTGATTATAGACGTGATTTAGGCCTCAATTGCTATTTCTGTTACTTTTGTACTCAACTTGACTTGAAAAAACATAGACTTGGCCTTGGGCACGGGGAAAGAAGTGGCAATCTGTTCATCTCTAAGGCATTAACTGACGTGATAATTTTTGTATATCTCGTTTCTTCTGTGTAACTGCTATTCTAATAGCAAACCCTTCATAAAACATGTTGCATTGCATTCTTGATTAAATTATCTTTCCATTGATGTATAATTTTATGGTACTACTTCAAAACAAAGTGGTGTTATTAGCTAGTTTTAGAAAATACACTTTTCCCAAAAGGTTTCCACAATTTTGGCCACTACTGTATATAAATAAATAAATAAATAAATAAATAATAAGTCGGATCTATTGTTACAGAATGGCTCACTTACTGCTGTTCTTCAACAAACTGCTTCCGCATATCCGGGGTGTACTGAGGAGCTGCTGCACGCATTCCAAGGAAGGGACTTTGGCCCATATATGGCATCCCCGCTGTTGGCATTGCACCGAGAGGCATGCCACCCTGTGTGAATCAAATGAGCAGTTCAATATTAAATAGCAAAGAACAAGAGAGACAGGGAGATAAAATGCACGGTAAATGATCCAGCAAACTGGGTCTCAGGAAACTCAGAATGTATGTGAGCTTTCTTATAATGAGATCTCAACGTCTGCAAATACATGCCCATTATTTCTCCATGTTATTTGATGCATATAAATCAGAGGTCTTCAAACTTGGCAGCTTTAAGACCAGCTATCCTGGCTGGAGAATTCTGGGAGTTGAAGTCCACAAGTCTTAAAGTTGCCACGTTTGAAGACCTCTGATATAAATTATATGAACTATGGATAGTCCTGGGCTTACAGTTTATTCGTTTAGTGACCATTCGATGTTGCGATGGCACTGAAAATGTGATCCACTTAACAACTGTGGCAGAACAGGTCGTAAAAAATGGGGCACAAGTCACTTAACAACTGTCTTGCTTAGGAACAAAAATCTGGGGCTCAATTGTGGTCGTACGTCAAGGACTACCTGCATTAAAATAGAAAATGTTGCAAATACGGTACAATGCCCTGTGAGGTGTATGTTTATGTTAGATGAAATTCTTTCATCTCTATCTCTTTGACCAGTTCCACTAGATCAGGCAGGGAGGTTATTGTACGCATGTTAACGAATTTTGACTGGTGGAGTCTAGGAAGAGAGCCTTCTCTGCCATTGCTCCATCCTACGGAACATCTTGCTTCTGGAGGTGAGGTATTCTCTAAGCTTGGTTGTTTTCTTTTAGAGGTTTCATTACCCAAACTAGGTAACATCACCAATGCATTGATGATGTTACCTAGCTGGGTAATGAAAAGTCTGCAAGAAAACAGCCAAGCTCAGAGGGCACCAAAGTCAGAGAGCACCAAAGAACCTCATTTCAACCCTGAGGTACAAATACAAGTAGTCCTTGATTTACGACCACAATTGAGCCCAAAATTTATGCTGCTGAGAAATTTGTTAAGTGAATCACTGCAGTTGTTAAGTGAGTAACATGCTTGTAAACTGAATCTGCCCTCTCCCCCTCTTGACTTTGCTTTTCAGAAGGTTGCAAAAGGGGCTCGCATGACCCCGGGACACTGCAACCCGTCATAAATATGAAGTAGTTGCCAGGCATCCGCATGTAAATCACATGACCGTGGGGGATGCTGCGACGGACATAAATGCAAAAAATGGTCTTAAGACACTTTTTTCAATGCTGTTGTAACTTCCAACGGTCACTAAATGAACTGCTGTAAGTCGAGGACTACCTGTATTCTCCTTTATCAGTGTTTTAATTTTGTTTTTAACTGTGACTTCTATAGGATTTTATCATTTTATTTGTAAGCTACTGTTGTGGTCCGCCAGCAGCCTGCGGAGCTGGCAGTGGCGTCGGACAGCAATGAGGCTGAGGAAGAACATGGGCCAGTCCTGGAGGCTGGGAAGGCCTGGATGAGGGCTCTGCGTCAAAGGCAGAGATGGGAACAGGGCCATCGGGGAGTGATGCGCGGACTTTGGAGCCTCCAGAGGCTGATAGGAGTGAGGCAGAGGAACAGGAGGAGCCTATTCCTAATGCACGCATGAGAAGAGCTGCCAGAAGGCAAGAGCAGCTCAAGCAAAAAGGACGACTCGGGAGTAGGGCCAAGAGATGATTGGCCCCTCCCATAAGGCTTAAAACAGACCAAACAAACGCAACGGCGATTGGGCTTTGCCGGAAAACAACGTTGGTAGCTTCTTCTTCTTTGTCTACGTCTTGTATTTATTTTTGTATCTGTGACTTCTGAATGTTTGCCAAGAAAGGCCTTTGGCAGTTTGCCTAATTGGACCAAGGTTTGCGATAGGACTGAGGAATTTGTGTTGGGAGGAATTTGCTTTAATTTAGTTGCACGACGCTGGGAATGAAGTAATTCTCAGCTCTTCGAATAAAGTTTGTTTGTTTTTTCACTGACTGATTTTCCTACTACTTACTTGGGCCTGGGTCACAACAACCGCCTAGAGACACCCAGTGTGGGTGAAGAAATTGGGAGAAATAAAATAATCCCTGATACAGATTAAAACCAGACTGCTTGAAATCGCCTCGGCACGTACCTGCACAGTCATCGTCCCTGGAGGCATCTGAGAACCGTAATTCATCCCCATCATGCCTTGCATATTGGGCTGCATGACAGGCACCATTGAAAAGCTCTGCTGTTGCATTGGAATCATCCCTACACCGAGACATTAAAAACCGGTTAGGAGTCCCGTGGAGTCAATTCCACCACTCGACATAAGAGGGCAAGAACAGATACAATTGGGCCCAACCTATTAGCTATAGCTAAGGGGCTAGTGATACAAATAGACCAGGGGTGGCAAACTCAAGGCCTGAGGGCCGGATCTGGCCTGTAGAGTGCTTAGACCTGGCCTGCAGTGCTGCCCTAGAAACAGTGAAGGACTGGCCCGCGCAGAGGTAGTATTCAGCCGGTTCGGGTAAACTGGTAGTGGCAACCTGCGGGTGGCCCGCCCACCCACCTGGGCGCAATCCCGTCCTATATCATTGTGTTTTTGACACCACACGCATGTGTGGATGGCGCATGCAAGCAAATTGCCATGTTTTGTGATGGCACACGCATGTTTGGATGGCGCGCATGCAAGCTAAGTGAGAGTGCGCATGCATATGTTCACATTTCCAGAGTTGGGCGAACTGGTAGTAACAGTATGTGAATTCCACTTCTGGGCCCACGGTGCCTCTGACAGCGAAAACGGAGATCGAGAAGGCCGTGTGCAGCCCTCCTGGGCTCCATTTTTGCTGGCAGAGGGTTGCAGGAGGCCATTGCAGCCGGAAACAGAGCTCGGGAGCCCGTTTTCGCTGGTGGAGCGCTCAGGCTACCACAGGCGCTGACACGAGTGACAAGACGCTCAGTTTTGCTGGCTGAGGAATTGTGGGAATTGAAGTCCACAAGTCTTAAAGTTGACAAGGTTGGAGACCCCTGCTAGAGACGCCTAACTTAAGATACCTCATGTTTCTCCCTGCAAATCCAGTACTCTTTCCAGTTTTACCTACCTTGAGGGCCAAGGCCACCAGTTACAGGGAAAACAAAGCTGAAATGAGAAAAGGACAGGGGGAAAAAACCCCATCAATATAAATAAATAAATGAATAAATAACTTTATTGTCATTGTACGTGTATACACAGAATACCCATACAACGAAATTTACTTAACACCCAAAGACCAGGTCCAACACACATAACAATCCCCAAACACACTCCCACCCACCACAATTCCCCACCCCTAAACCACCCAAAAATCCACACAACAGACCAAGTAATACTGTCCAATAGCTCACTGATGGTGGCCCTTTAGTTCATTGTTGAGTGCAATTATAGCTCTGGGATAAAAACTATTCAGAAAACGTGTGGTCCGAGTTTTAATTGTTCTGTATCTTCTACCAGAAGGCAACAGTCCAAAAAGATTGTAAGCAGGATGGGAAGAGTCTCTGAGAATATGTCATTTAAGGAAAAGAACATCCCTTGTTAAAAGTCCTTAGCACAGATGGGTGCCCCCATGAAGCAGGGGAGAGATCCCATTAGTTACTATGCACAAGGTCAGCGAAAAAAAATATGCTAAGCATTTTTTTCAGATTGTGGAAAACAGGAGAGAATATATAATTTGTTTTTAAACATCTGTTAAGAATGGACATGAAATAAAAGATGAATCAAAGGAGAAAAAATATAGGTAGTACTCGACGTATGACCCCAACTGAACCCAAAATTTCTGTCGCTCAGAGAGACAATTGTTAAGTGAGTTTTGCCCCATTTTGCAACCTTTCTTGCCACAATTGTTAAGTGAATCACTGCAATTGTTAAGTTAGTAACGCGATTGTTAAGTGAATCTGCCTTCCCCTTTGACTTTGCTTGTCAGAAGGTCGCAAAAGGGGATCACATGACCCTGGAACACTGCATCCGTCATAAATATGAATCACTTGCTAAGTGTCTGAATTCTGATCACGTGAATATGGGGGTGTTACAACAGTCATTAAGTATGAAAACGGTCCTAGGTTGTGTTTCTCAGTCCCATTGTAACTTCGAACAGTCACTAAATGAACTGTTGTAAGTTGAGGACTATCTGTACAAAAAAGTGCAAGGAAAGAAAAAGAAAGGTAAAGTTAAGAAATATATGACTTCTGACCTTCTTTTTAACAGATAATTGGAGTATTATTGTCCTTTCTCTCTCTTAAGTGCTTTACAAATCCCCTCATTTAGTCCACATCGTTATTAATCTTAGAACAGAATAATAGAGTTGGAGGGGACCTGCTAGGTCATCTAATCCAACCCCCCCGGCCCAAACAGGAGATCCTACACCATTTGTGACAGGTGGCAGTCCAGTCTCTTCTTGAATGCTTCCAGTGATGAAGCTCCCACAACTTCTGAAAGCAACTTCTGTTCCATTGGTTGATTGTTCTCACTGTCAGAAAATTTCTCCTTATATCTAGGCTGACACTCCTTGATCAGTTTCCATCCATTATCCCTTGTCTGGGCCTTCAGGTGCTTTGGAAAATAGCTTGACCCCCTCCTCTCTGTGGCAGCCCCTCAAGTATTGGAAGACTGCTATTATGTCTCCCCTGGTCTTTCTCTTCGCTAGACTAGCCATGCCCAGTTCCTGCAACCATTCATCGTACGTTTTAGTCTCCAGTCCCCTAATCATCTTCCTTGTTCTTCTCTGCATTCTTTCCAGAGCCTCAACATCTTTTTTTATAGTATGGCGACCAAAACTGGATGCAGTATTCTAGGTATGGTCTTACTAAGGCTTTATAGAGTGGTATTAGTACCTCACATGATGTTGATTGAATCCCTCGGTTAATACAATTTAGGATTGCATTGGCTTTTTTGGCTGCCGCTGCACACTGTTGGCTCATATTTAATTGGTTGTCCACTAAGACTTCAAGATTCCTCTCACAGTTACTGCTGTTAAACCTGGTTTCTCCCAATCTTTATGTTCTGTTAATTGCTTCAATAATCAAGATGCAATGTTCAGGATGGTTTTTTTAAAAGCAACCAGGGATACGCACTGCGTTGGTAAGTACTTTGTGTTACTCTGACCTAGCATAACATGCGAATCCAAGCATTAGATGTGTGGTGAACTACACTTTATGGCTTAAGTGTTTCAAGTCTGCCAAGTCATTATGGCTTAGTTAAAAAAAAAAACATGGTTTAAACAAGGCACACAGTGCACTATATAAATCCTTCCTGTCCGTGACTCAGTACATTGATGTAAAATAATTCCATCTGGTTCCTTTTAAATCTTAAGGGCCATATTTCTGACTGTGTGCAATCTAATCGAAGTCATTGTTCAACTGCAGAATTTACCGGTCATTAACATCAGTTCTGAATATTAATTGATGCTGAGTCATTTGGTTAGCTATCATAGTTTTATATAGAGAGTCCTGGAAAGCGTAATAGGAAAAGTTGGGAAAGAAAAACTTTTGCTCTCTTCTTTTTTCCCCAAAGGAAAGGAAAAAATACATGGAATATTGGAAAACATATGCAAGTACTTCATACATGTTTTCTCTCTTTCTTTTTTTTTTTTTTTTTGATTTGATTTATATGCTGCCCTTCTCCGGAGACTCAGGGAGGCTTACAATGCGTTAAGCAATAGCCTTCATACTTTTGTATATTTATACAAAGTCAGCTTATTGCCCCCACAATCTGGGTCCTCATTTTACCTACCTTAGAACGGATGGAAGGCTGAGTCAACCTTGAGCCTGGTGAGATTTGAACTTACAGTAATTGCAGGCAGCTGATATTAATAACAGTGCTTTAGTCTGCTGCGCCACCATTTATTTTCTTAATACGTTTTTTCCAGGTTTTTACAAGATGAACCAGAGCCACTAAGACCACACCTAGAATACTGCATCCAGTTTTGGTCACCACACTATAAAAAGGATGTTGAGACTCTAGAAAAAGTACAGAGAAGAGCAACCAGGCCAATGAGGGGACTGGAGACTAAAACATATGAAAAATGGTTGCAGGAACTGGGCATGGCTAGTCTAATGAAGAGAAAGACCAGGGAGATAGCAGTTTTCCAATATTTGAGGGCACTTTTCCAATATTTGAGCGGCTGCCACAGAGAGGAGGGGGTCAAGCTGTCTTCCAAAGCACCCGAAGGCCAGACAAGGAATAATGGATGGAAACTGATCAAGGAGAGATTCAACCTGGAAATAAGGAGAAATTTTCTGACAGTGAGAACAATCAACCCATGGAACAGAAGTTGCCTTCGGAAGTTGTGGGAGCTTCATCACTGGAGGCTTTCAAGAAAGACTGGCCTGCCATCTGTCAGAAATGGTGTAGGGCAGTGATGGCTAATCTTTTTGCCGTCGTGTGCCAAAAGTGAGGGGAGTGTGGGGGGTCACAAGCACGTATCCATAATTCAATGCGCCCTGCCCTTCTGCGCATGCGCACATGACCCCCCCCCCACGCAAACCCCCGGCTTTTTGCACGTGATGGCCTGGTGGGCCCGGTAGGCCCATTTTTTGCCTTCCCCAGGCTCCAGAGGCTTTCTTGGAGTCTGGGGAGGGTGAAAACGGCCTCCCGTACCCCCCAGAGGCCCTCCGGAGGCCTGAAACAGCCAGTTTCCTGACTTCCGGTGGGACCAGAAGGCCCAAAAATCAGTTGGCCGGTGTGTGCATGCGTGCTGGAGCTGAGCTAGGGCAACACTTGTGTGCCCACCAATATGGCTCCGCGTGCCATAGGTTTCCCATCACGGGTGTAGGGTCTCCTGCTTGGGTGGGGGGTTGGACTAAATGACCTACAAGGTCCCTTCCAATTCTGTTAATCTGTTAATCTGAATGGAAGGATTTATACCCTGGATTACAATGCTATCCAGGCAATTAATGCCTTTTTTAAATCTCTCCTTAGAATAAATGGTTGCTGGCCCGGAAATAAGTAAGCACTGTGTTTCACAAAAGCCTGAATGAATCAGGGTTTCTGATTCTACGACAACATGCAGCGTTTTAAGGCTGACAGGAAAAACAGCTATACTATAAATCATCAGCTATAATTGCAAATAATGGCACAATGAAAGTGCTGTCTGTCTCAATTCTGGCTCTTTAAAACAGAAAAATATTGGAAGAAATAAAAAGTAGTTCAAAAAGTAGTTTGAGCATAAGAACGAACTGAACAGGCCAAAAAGATATTAATGAAGGCAAAGTTTACTCCTGTATTGTTGCGATTTAAAAATTAGACTAAAATATTTGCAAGAGGTTTAATATCATAATGTATTTGTTTTATCCCAATTCCCCGTATTTTATGAGGTATAGGAGATGTGAACAAAATGTGGCATTTGTTTCTTTCCATAATAGCAAAACAAGTGCCTCATAAATCCCCAGAGAACAAGACTCATCTGCTGTTTCTCTTTGAAAACTGGTTGGCCTTTCTCTATTTTTTTTTTTAAATTAACAAAAAATACCGTATGTTGACAAGTATTGACTCAAAAACAACCCGTACAAAAATGCTTCGGACTTTTCTTTCTTGAAAAAAGAAATAACGTTATGTTAGTCAAAACCGTGCACAAAATGCACAAAGTGCAGAGAAAGAAAAATGATTAGTTAATTATTTTTTGTCATTGGATAGGAGGGAAAAATGTATCGAGTATAATTAAAAAGACTGAAAGATGAGAAAGTCAAAGGCATAATAAACTGGTTCCTCTCTAGATCACAGATTTGATAAGATTCTCGAGTTTATTCCATGTTAGGAGAAACCAGACATCTAAATCCACCCTAGGCTCTTATTGATTGCTTTGTCACGAGATGATGAGAATGCAATATGGAAAATAGTCTTTTTTTTTTTTGTCCAAGGGCAGATAGATGTGCTCTATAATTGTTCTGGACCACGGCCAGGAAAGGGGGCTCCCATTATTGTAGTAATAATTCAACAATCTCGCCAGATCGGCCTTTCTCAACTTGGAACTCTCAAGCTTTGGTGGACTACAATTCTCATAGAGCCCAGGAAACGATGGGTCTTTAATCCAGGAGAACAAGATGGCAGAACTGGTGGCGCAGTAGTCAGAGTGCAGTATTACAGGCTAATTCTGCCCACAGCCAGCA